CATTGGTCTGCACCAGGGCCTGCTACCCCGGACAGGAAGAGTGCAGCCCCCACCGCGGCCTCTACTGCAAGTCCATCTAAGGTGCCGCCAAGCACATCACCCTTGAAGTTGGGCAAGCCGATCAATGGCAAACCCGTGGCGACGGCAATGAAGGATGGTACCAAACTTTGCCCGCAATTTCAACGAGGCGGCTGCAAGGCCAAACCATGTCCTCAGGGAGCCCATCGATGCGGAGCAGTTGTCAGGAAAGATCGGGTATGTGGAGCGTTCAACCACGGTGCAGCCAATTGCACTGGTAAGCGTTGACACGCCCCAGAAGAGGAGGCGGCTGCCTCTTTTGGGTCAGATGAGCTAGAGCCGCAAGAGGGGCGACCTCTTATGGCAGATCTCATGGCAGGTCCCAACGCACCCCTCACCAAAGCATTCATCAGTTGCGGGTGGCAATGCATTACAGTGGATTGGTTGTTGGATGACAGCCATGACCTGTCAGATGAGCGCCGGCAACAATCCCTGAGCAAACAGCTTGAAGAGGTGATCTTCATAGCGGCAGCTATCGACTGTTCGACAAAGAGCAGGGCCAGGGAGATCCCCAGGAAGTTTGAAGACGGGCGGCCAGCCCCTGGTCCTCTTCGATCCGAGGTCTACCCTGATGGCCTGCCTCACCTCAACAGCCGGGATGCCCAAAGAGTCGACCTTGACAACAAAGCCTGCAACTATGTCTTGGGAGAAATTCAGAAGTTGCGGGATAGGGGGGGAGGCAGTGTGCGTGAAAACCCTGCCCGCTCCTTGCACTGGTGGACGTCCACAGAGGTGACTATGTGGGAATCGGGACAATGGTTCGACACAGCCTACGCGGCATGTACTTTGGGTGGGGCGCGTTGCAAGCATCAAGTGCTACGACACAATGTGGAGGAGATCCAACGCTGGCCCCCAGCCAATTGCCACCATGTGCACGACCCACAGGAATGGACCCCCTACACCTCCGACGGCCAGCGGTTTTACCCATCCAAAGAAGAGGCAGAGTACACAGCAGTCCTTGCCTTTGCCATCGCAGTGTCGGCTAGTTGGTGGGCAGTCCGCACAGGTCTAGCCGTCCTGCATGTCCCACGCATGCCCACGTTCATGTCAGTCGGACGCCGTGAACATTGGCTGGATATGGACCCGCGTGCAATGCGGGAGTGGGCAATGGCACCACTGGCGGTGACGCTGGGCCTCACAGAATCCTTGAGGGCTGAACGGTCGGGGCTACCGGTCCGAAGGCTCGTCAAGGAGGTAATGATCGAGAACAACAAGCTACCACGCAAGACCATCTACGTCGGCCGAGGCAGCTTTCATCATCGCCTATCGACGACCAAGTGGAAATCGCCATGGACACCGGGCCACAACTGTGAAGCCGGTGAATGGCCGGCCAGGTGCATTGTCCATATTCGAACCTCACCTTTGTGGGACGCCTTGCATGAGCTTAGCAATATGGAGCTGGCGTGCGACTGCCCCATGGAGCACCTGTGCGAAGCGGACATGCTCATTGGCCTCTTCTTCGATGCCACCGCCCCTGGGGGTGACCCACTGCAGCGGGGCACCGATGGCCGATGGAGTAGGACTGTGGCATTGTTGCAAGGGATCCAGGCTATCCCCAGGGGGGTAGCCCTACCCATGATGAGCCAAGAAGCACTGGTATTGGCATTCCGAAAGCTTTTCCCCGAGCACTGGTTCAAGAACTACAAGTTTGCAATGATTGAAGACCTCATCAACAGCCCGCCCTTCTGCTCATATGCCACCTGGCTTGCAGAGCGAGGAGAAGCTTGGGACGGGCCCCTAGTCCCGCATCTGGCTGCCGGGGCAGTGAGGCAGCTTGCACGGATTGGGGACGGGTGCCAAGTGGGTGCGATGACACACCGTGCCGCTTTGCCCCCACTGCTGCCGTTCAACTTGGATCCTGAGGACCACTTCAACCAAGCAGTCCAACGAGCCCAGCACCCGTTGCCCTACGAAGACCTCCCAGTCGTCGACTTAGACCTGGAGTTCGTAGCAGATGCCTATGTGGCACATGGCCAGCAGTTGCGCCCGTGGCGACAGCAGGCAGTCGGGGCCATGCGAGAGCTGAAGAGACGCTGGGAGGGGGTGACCCTCCACTTGCGATCCTTCCAGGAGCCGGCCGTCCAACAGGTAACACGGCACCGCGATGTGGGGCTCATCGCATTGCTGATGCTGCTGACATCCTGGGCAGACACCAGCTTTCCCTATGGGCTGATCCGTGGGCTGCCTGCAGTGGGCTACGCACCACCTTATGGGATATTCCCCCAACAGCCCGCTGAGGTGATCAGCATGGCAGATGTGTTGGAGGGATGGCAGGAACACAATCAGCACATCTTGGGCCAGCTGAGAGCAGGCAAGGATGATGAGTTCCTCCTGCAGCAGTCATTGGAGGACGCAGCGAATGGTCTCTGCACAGAGCCCTTGCGACGGACAGATTTCCTGCGGGCCATTGGCGACAAGGCCCATCGATTGATCCCGCGTTGCGTGATCACACAGAGCTCAGGCAAGCAGCGTGTGATCGACAATGGGGACACCGGAGGACAATCAGCCTTGTCGTCTGATGCTAACAAGCTCACATTGTGCAGTCCATTGCGTCCTGCCCAGCACATTCGCCTTGCAATGCATCGGTGGACAGAGGATGAGATGGCCGATTTCTTCGCGAACGATGCCTGGGAAACAGGACAAGAAGATCTGCCTTCAGCATACAGGTATTGCCCTATGGCATTGCAGGAAAGTCTGGGCTGCGTGGTGGTGTGGTACCATCACGAATGGCAAACCCCTGCATACCAAGTCTACGCTGGGCTACTCTTCGGACTGCCGCTGGCGGTTACATCATTCAACCGTTTTTCCAGACTATTGGAGGCACTAGCCAGGCGTTTTTGCCGAGTTTTGACATCCCTGTACTTTGATGATGCGACCATTACAGACTTGCAATCCTCAAAAGGGTCAGGCCAATGGGCCATGAATCAATTGTGTTCTCTTATCGGCTCCCCCTTTGCAGAGGACAAGAAACAACCAATGCAGAGCACCGGTACCTTTTTGGGATTGACTCATGATCTCAGCTCCATCAACCAAACAGGGCACGTACAGTTTTGGGCTCGAGAACGGCTCCATGACAAAGTACGTGACATGTTGGCAACAGCCAGGGTGACTGGCCATTTCAGCCGAGGGGCAGCATCGAAGCTGTACGGCTTGGCCAATTTTCTGGAGCAGGGCATCTACGGTCGAGTGGGATATGGCGGCCTCATGGCCATCAAAGCCAGGCAAGACGAGACAACCTCGACCATCACTCCCGAGATTGAAGCATGCTTCGAGGTGATCGAAGCGGTTATGCGCTTTCAGCCAAAGCGGGAATTTCCCGTTCTGCACCTGGATCATCTGCGGTTTTTGGCAGCCTCCGACGCAGCTGTCGAAGCAGACAATCCTGGTTCAGGAGGTTTTCATCTGATCTTTTTCCAGCCTGACGGATCACAAATTCGTCACAGTTTTGTCGCGACCAACTGTGCAGAGCTCCGAACACTTTGGCAACCTGCAGAGACGCATATCGCCCAATTGGAACTATCTATGGTGCTCTACGCCCTTGTCGAAAGGCCTGATCTGTTTCGAAACCGACACGGCCTATGGTTTTTGGACAACGTAGCAGCCGTCATGACGCTAGTGAGAGGACGTTCTAGCAATGCCGACTTAGCGAAGCTAGGTCATTTGATCCATCTAGCTCTGTTTGCACTGCGAGCCCAAGGATATTGGGAGTACGTCCAGAGCAAGAGCAACTGGGCTGACGACATCAGCCGACTTGGCGTCAATGATCCATGGTGGCGATGCCATGGTTTTGAGTTTTATTCGTCGTACCTCCCTACAATCTTGTTCCAGCTACCCTTTGCAGCTGTCATTCTCACCTTCGAATACCTTTAGTGCTTTGGGAATTGAGTGCATTGGGTGATTCCTGCAGAGCAGGTTCCAGCCTGGGTTGCCAGGCAGCTGACCAGTGGCGAAACTGGTCTGGGGCTATGTACGTGTCACATCGTGACGACCCAAAGCAAACCTGAGGATTGCAGGTGAAATTGACTGAGCATAGGCATAGCTGTGGAAAAAGAAAGCTGCGGGAGCGCGAGACAGTATCTGTTTCATATGACACTTTGAGATGTACCCATGCATTGAGTTTGGCAGGCTTGGGTGTGCATGTATCATCTTTAAGTGTTTCAATGAATGCTACCATTTTGGCTCAAGTAAACTTGAACCAAAATAGCATTCATTGCTGTTTTCTTTCCCCACCCTCCCAACCCTAAGAGCCGACCTCCCGTGGAGATGTCCGCCTAGGTTAGGGGAGCCTGCACGGCAGGCGAGTACATAGCCTCTATCGGGGATCCTCTCTTGGGGCGACCAAGAGAGACTTTCCCTCCCTTAGGTTAAGGGATGGGTGATTCCTGCAGAGCAGGTTCCAGCCTGGGTTGCCAGGCAGCTGACCAGTGGCGAAACTGGTCTGGGGCTATGTACGTGTCACATCGTGACGACCCAAAGCAAACCTGAGGATTGCAGGTGAAATTGACTGAGCATAGGCATAGCTGTGGAAAAAGAAAGCTGCGGGAGCGCGAGACAGTATCTGTTTCATATGACACTTTGAGATGTAATTATATATATAATAATAATAATATATATATATATTTATTTATTTACTTGTTTATGCTAGAATATTATTCGACCATTCATCGCTAAATTGGCACTGAGGGGTTGCAACAAGAAGATAAGCACATTACCCAGAGTTTGCTTTGGAAACTATGAAACATGGGGTCGACTGCATCACCATATGGCCATCCCACCGAGTCCCAACAAAATCAAGGGTAAAACCCATTTATAGCAAACTTAGACACCATATTGTTTGAATCTGAACGACACATAAGATAGCATGGGGTTTGGCACTCCCCCAAAAAAGACAACATCGATTGACCCTGGCTTCACTCGTCGAGGTCCAGAGGCTCTACTTGGAGATGTGAGTGCGAGCGTGGATATGTGGGCCACTTGCCGCCGTTTTCCAAAGCGAGGAAGTTGGGGTTCTCGCTTCACAACTTCGGGCCATATATATCCAGTGTTTGGAGTAATGACTGGGATTGGCTGATTGTGGCCATGAGTTCTTTTTAAACAATTCAACCTCCGAGTTCTGTAATTGAGTCAGAAGCCGGAGATCTCAAACTATTTGTGTTCAAATACTGTAAGTGTCTGAGATTCTGAGGTTCAGCTCCCTGACAATCTAGAACCAAGGCATGGCTAATGGAGATATGAGGAAATGTCCTGATGCCACGGAAAAAGGGCATCCAGAGACTTTTGGATACTAGCACCAGTGAAAAAAAAATATGTTCCATAGGAAGCTGTAGAGTCTAGATTGCAGCTCTTGATTTTTCCAGAGAGGCTAAGTCCCAAAAATATTCTGGTGGTTCAATATGCTTCAATCTTCCAATGTTGGTTACTATTCAATCAGTCCAATCTCAAATTTGTTAGTTCAACCTCTCAACCCCTCAATGGTGCTGGTAGCAGAGGATGCATCCGAGGGGATGCCATGGATTTCACGTGGATTTCACGGTTTCACGCGCGGACCCGCAGTGGCTCAAAGGACCCCCAGTGATGGTTTTTTTTAGGATGCGTGGCGTGTACGCCATTGTGGGTGTCAATAGGATCAATAGGTCCAATGCATTCCAATGCCAAAGTTGTTGACACTTGAGAGCAAAACAAAGACGCCTAGAATCATAGAGCCAAGAAACAGCCCAGACATGTTCTCATATTATAAAAGATGTCCCATGTTTGTGTTTCCTTTCCTGTTTCGGCAGCAGGGCTGCGGAACGGCTCGAAAACAGGGATGAAATTCGTGGAAGATGCACAGGTCTTGCACGGAGTCAAAGCGAAGGACGTCCATGGGAAGAGATCCCTGTGGATGATAGGGGGTTAACATGGATTAACCATGATTAACCAGTAGAAATAGGGAATCATGGTAATTTCAATTAACCATCAATTAACCATGTTAATCAGCGTCCCCATTTCAATTAACCAGGTTGAACATTTCACATTTGAAATGGGGATGCTGACCTTTTTCTAAGTAGCCGAAACTACCAGTGATGTTGTTTTTTTTTTAATGTTCGTAGGATGGTGGACTTCAACATAGGAAATGAAACAGGCAAGCTCTCGGGGACGTCAAGCTCCGAGAAATGAAGACAGATTCTGGAAATGATGGCTGGTTGATGGTTGATGGTGTGTGGAGGTCAGTAAATGTCAGTATATATATATAATATATATATATATATATTTATGATTATGTATGTATATGTACCTAATATAATGCGTACATATATATATATATATGTATATACATATTATTTTATACAGGTACATGTAACGTGAGCTGGTTTCATAGCTGTTGTCATGGTTTTATTGTGGGAACCCATATGAACCGACCTATGACTGAAGGTTTAGGGTATTGCTCACCCAAAAATCACTTTGAGTCCACAAACCCGCTCGCCAAGTCCAATCATCATGGAGCATAAAACCGTGGCCAAAAAAGTGCCTTTGCCTATCTCTATATATATATATGTATATATTATATTATTATATAAAAGGTAACTGGGGGGGTAAAATATGATTGGCTACCAATGTTCTGAGACTAATAAATCTTGTCGTGAACCTCTCAAGAAAACATCCTTTTGGGACAGCACTTGCAGATTGCATGTCACCGTCGGGTCGCCGCCGTTGGAGGACTGGATTAGCTTCCTGCCTCCCAAGAGTGTACGACGCACAGATCTCCAGAGCTTCTTGAACTCAGATCATGCGACCTGGCCAGATTTGATCCTCATGGACATTTACCCTCTAGTGAACTAACATAGCTATTCAAAATTGCCCATTTATAGCTAATTTACCCATTGAAAATTGTTATTTTCCATAGTTATGTTAGTTTACCAGAGGGTAAGTTCCGAGATGAGCTTAAACAATCTGTCTCTAAAACAGCAACACTTCTGGAATTGTGTAGTTTCACTACTTTGTCTGGCTTTATGTTGAGTTGTTTTACCATCTGGTGATTCAAAATATAGACATGGAAAAATTACCGATTTGTAGATGATCATGTTTGTTTGCCTATCAAAAATACTGCCATGTTCCATGACTATCCATGGCAAACTGTTAGATTACCAGATGGTAAAAAAAAAAAAAACAATTCTCCCAACAGAACGAATGCCTAATTTCTCCTTTGAAAACCCCAAACAGATAAAAATGTAAAATCTTATTCAGTTAGTGGTAAACCACTTACTGTTCTTTCTGTTTAGGGGTTAGTAATCCCATCCTAATATTGAACACCCCCAGACACCACGGTGTAGTAGGATATGTATACACATGGCATATATATATATACACATTTATATATATATATATGTATATTGCCATGTTACTATCAGATGGTAAATGGAAATATGACCAACAGTAAGAAAATGGTTTCTATAACTTCAGCTCCTCAGCACCGCGGCAGCCCACAGGCCGCGCTGGACGTTTCAACTGCGTCACGGAGCCGAAATGAGGAGTTCCTGTTTGGAACGCCGACGCTGAGCCAGGGGCGTTGGGGAATGGTGAATGGTGTGCTCTTTGGATACGGATTTAAGCGGATATGTTTTTTTCTCCCATGGATTTTAATGGATGTTTCTGGAGTTTAATGGATTTAACAAGGGAAACTTGGAACATTGGGATTTTACCATCAAACATGGGGCTGCTACTTATCTATCTTATCTAAGTTGGTTGATTCTATAAACCAACTTTTAGGGGGCTCACATTGTAATGTGCCTAGGTAAAACATATCGATTCACTAAACTCAGTGGTAACTCCAATTTCGCAGGGTTACTTTCCATCGTTTCTAGGGATGGTTTTGGGTTTACCAGACAACCAACATGGCAATTGAGATCCTCAATTTAATTGTCAATTATATGTGGTGACTTGATAACATGACTTGACAAGCTGGCAATGGACATATTTTTTGATTTTATAGATTCAAGTTGCCCTTTTTATTTGTTTCATAGAATTGGATGATGGGAAATTTACAGGAAACCCCTATATTTGATGGTAAAAACCATGGTTTCCTGTAGATTTTCCCTTAAACCAATCCATTGATTGTTGGATTTTGGGGTTTCCCAATGGTTTTTTTTGGTGGTGGATCATGTGACTGGCCATCGTTTTTTTGGGACCTGCAGCTGGCGCCAAGAAAAAACTCGTCCATATCTCACAAGAAACGTTTACCCTCTGGTGAACATACAAAAAGCTATTGAAAATTGCCATTTATAGTGGATGTACCCATTAAAAATTGTGATTTTCCATAATTAGTTATGTTAGCTTACCAGAGGGTAAATGGACCGACTGTACGTTCTCGTGTGTTTCCAATGTTTGTGGTCAAGAGTCACTGATCCCGGCTGCATCCATCAACTCCAAAACATTTTAAGTGCTGCTTCGTCTATCAATGGGGATGTATATGAAATATGCCATCCAGATACTTGAAGTCAGACATATTATATTCAAATAAACAGACAGACGCACAAGCACACACACACATATATATATATAATATTATCTTACATATATTTATATCATACAATTTATAAGATTTGGCCAAGATTCATCACCTCTGATTCCTGTGAGCTCAGGACGAAGTCAAAGTTCCAGCTGTTGCCATGGAAGACAAAACTTCCAGCGCCAAAAGACACCAAGACTTCAAGTTGGACCCAAGTACCCAAACATACCCAAAATTTCATGGTTGGCTGTCATTTTTCCAGACAAATTGCAGTGTTGATGGTACTGTATCCTTCTTTTCATGCAATTGTTTTAAACTTATATGGGATATTTACACACATACGTGCCAGCATTTGTACTGGCGTACTTGCGTGAATGTTGTGAAACTACGTTTCTTTTCAGTGCAAAGTAGGGGAAGCTGATGAGTGACCCTGTGATTATATTGTGATTATTGCGTCTCTGGGGGGAGAAGATGGTCATCAACTTGTCATCCAAGTTGGTGGCAATTTGTTCAATGGTAAACTGGTAAACCAATGGTTTCTCTCTATCATTTGTTTTTGAAAGATCCATTTCATGTGGTTTTCTCATGGATGCCCAAGACAGAGGCCGGAATATTATGGTAACTCAATGGTATGTTTGGGTTCCAAATTTGGAAAAACAACAATATCAGTCAATTGGTTTCCGGAATCCCGCTACATTTATGAGTAGGAAGCATGTTTTGTTCGTGGGGGGAATGTTTTTTGGAATCTTTGATTTCTGCTTAAAGTTGTGGTGTTTGGGACAAATGCGATGGTAAATGTAGGATCCGACCGTATAGGGTCAGTGGCGGAATGAGCCAATTTGTTTTGAAGTGAAGGATTTTTCATTGTTTTTTCTGGTTGGTGGTGTGGAACATTTTTTATTTCCATAGTATATGGGATAATCCTTCCTATTGACTAATATTTTTCAAGATGGTTAAAACCACCAACCAGTTTAATGTTCCGGAATGCTGGGAGGTACTTGGCAGTATGTCTCAAGAGCCGCCCTGTGAAGAGCACACGTGCAGTCACAAATGACTAGTGAAATGCATAACTTGCAAAATGGTTTAAATGGGTTCATGCTGTAAATCCCGTTTTTTTTTGTCAGTTCCCAATGATTTTGTTGCTGAAATTCCTTTTCTTCGTTACAACCCACATCAAACAAATCCAGCATAGCCAAGGAATCCATGATGCAGGGCCTTGCTGTGGCCAGTGGTGTGGTTGGAGCCGCCTTGCCAGCCGTTTGGTCTGTGGTGCAGCCCGCGGTAGATCCTTTCAGTGATGAGAAGGACACGCCCGGCGAGAAATTCAACCTGCCCTGCCCTGGTATAACCAACAGAATTGCTGGGTTTGAAAAATGAGTTTTACCATGTTTTAACATCGGAAATGCGCGTTTAAGGAACCTTATATAAAGTGGAAACTTAACAGCCTCAGGAACATCAGATTGTTGGTTGGTGATTGTACGGGGTTATGTTATCCGAGTCTATCCAATGTATGCGGGGTTATGATAGCATGGTATAACGGTACAACGGTAGATCTACGGTAGAACCATCAAAAATTTGAAATGGCGGGTAATCAGTCGTCTCCGTATTGTGAAGAAACCAATCATAAATCTTTTCCACCATTGATTTGACCATTTGTCTACAGTTATTTTTGTCCATGGGTTGGCTTTACATTTACTCAGTTTCTCCCAGGAAGGGGACAAGGAGACTGGCTGGTGCAAATTTGTTCCTCGCGCGCTAAGTCGCTTGGTGGGGCTGGGACACAGGAGCAATCAATGGGGAATTACATGGGGGATGGGGATGGGGGATAAGACCAGACGTTTCATGGGAAATGTTACCAAATTTATGGGGCTTTTTAATGATTATAATTAATGGTGATATTTGGGAATTAATCATGGGTGAGTAGATTGATTTTCCATGAACATACTGTATGCACCGGAAACCGGAAACCATTGTGTTCACCCCGACGCCAGAGGTATCCTGCAAGTTTTCCCTTCAACCATTTCTCGACCATTTCTCAACCGACTGTTTGTCTTTTTCTTTTTCGCCATATATTTGGAATTTTGGGGTATGCAATTGGGCCTCCATGCCCAAATATCAAATGATGTACTGTAATTATGAAAGAGGAAATCTGGAATTGTATATTAACACATCATTTTCCAGGGTTACTACACTTGTGATTCGCTGATGATTTGTGTTTCAAGTGTTTCCAAATGACCCAACAGTGAAAACAACTAGCTTTTGCATGACCATCCTTCAACCCCAGCAGCAACAAGCAGCAGTTTTTAGGATTCTTCTATTGGTCTGACCTGATCTCTGCAGGGGTTTTACTTCACAGCTTGCCCCTTGGCGATTTACGTCTTCGGTGGCGTTCACGATCAATGGAGCGTATAAAGATGGGAGGTACCTCAAAATACCCATTCTCAGAGAAAATGATGATCAACCATCGGGTTCTTTAGGTGGCCTAGTTTCATATAGACAAAGTCATTTTTCAGATTGAATTATCATGTCATTCTCCTATCGCATTTCAGAAGCTGAGGGTCCAGACCTGAATTTCTTGCTGGATTCCTAGGTACTTTGTTTGCGATGTTCCGTTGAGAACATGGCTCGCAGCCTGGCTTCCTTGTGATTCACAGTAGTGGTGTCGCTTTGACTTTTCCTTGGAACACTGGATAGATCTGCAAAGTACGGTTCCCCGTATTGTCGTTGACATCTATAACTATAAGGTATAAGGTTCTAATTCTGCTGGTCTATATGCCCTTGTTGTTGTTGTTGTTGTTGTTGCTGGTGTTGTTGTTGTTGTTGTAGTTGTTGTTGTTGTGGTTGTTGTTGTTTTTGTTTTTGTTGATAAATAAATATATATATATATATATATATGTATATGAATGTTTATGTTTCACAGACTCACATATACATATATATATATATATGCATATAGTCATATAGTTGAGACCCCATGCTTGCCACTTCAATCACATGTTTTTTTTTGTTGAAGTTCACTACTTGTAGCTGTTGTGTTGTCAGTTGTGACTTGTCGGGTTGCACAGGACCCCATGTTCATGTTGGGGTTCCGCATGACAGCCTTTAATACTACACGGACGGGATTCTATTATAAACTATATATATATATGTTGATTATGTTGCACATGTTTCAACCATGTTCAAATATGTTGATTATGTTCACACTCCTTTTTGTAGGTCATATAGTGTTTTACATATTGTACCCATGTTGGTTTTTTAATTGTTCCGTTGTATATTTGTATCCTGTGATTTTCCTCCATATCAAGTAAATACTATTCTTTCCTTTTGAGATCATGTTGAATCATGTTGGAAGGCTATGAGGCTATGAGGCTACCCGGACCCTACCGGTTGGACCCTTTCGTAAGTCATCATAAATCATGGTTTGAAACGGTTTACCTACTCTGGTAATCTAAGCTATAGCCCAGGCAAACATCGGAATGTTCGATGGAAAGATGTCCAGGATTGGGGTAGCTCTCCCAAAACTGGTAATACCTTCTTGGTAGACATACAAAAAACTATGGACAATCATCATTTTTACGAGGTAAATCAACCAACTTAGTTTGGCTATTTTCAATAGCAAACTATTAGTTTACCAGAGGGCAACAGGGTATGTATCCTTATTTTAAGTTGTTTTTTATTTACCATGATTTATTCCACTATATCCACACCATATCATCATTCATCGTTGATTTTGTATAAATACATTACGGTATCCATTTATCCAGACCATTGTTTGGGGTATCACTGGTTGCTGTTGATAAACCCATATTGCCATGATTGGTTTTATACATATATTACTAATACTAGTAATAGTAACATTCCCCAGTAAGATTTACACTATCCTTATTGTAATAGCAACCCTTGATTATCACTATTTGATAGTTTCTGTATCATATATATATATATAATACCATGCATATACATTTAAATACACATAATTAACACACACACATATATATATATATATACACGTGATATTGAGTACATACCTATAATTCGTGTATATACTCAATACCATTCGTGATATTGGTTCAATAATATAATGATATACCAATACTCAATACCATACTATAATTATAATATCATAGTAAAATATTGATTCAATACCATTCGTGCTGCACTTTGAGGCCGGCGGCCTGATGCTGGGCTTCCCGCTGACAGATGCCGTGCATCGCGTTGCGACCCGGGGAAACCCCAGGCCGCGGTGGTGAACGGGGGCCAAAATTTAAAGGGGATGGCTTTTGGGAGCGTTTTTCGTGGCTTTAACATGGTTCAACCATGACACATATGGAAAGTTTATTGGGATCCAGAATGATCCATAGGTTTTATTACGAGAATGGTCTAATATTGGATGATTTGGGGGTACCCCCATTTGAAACCTTCTATGATATGTGTTTCTTTTTGGGATATAATTGCTACACGATGATTGACGGTTGAATTCACTTTTCAGAAAGTGGGTTGGTTGGCAATATGTCCAAATGGGGATAGTCCCACGATCAGGACTGATGAATCGGGACTGGTGAATCAAGGCACTTACGAACTGAGCAATGTACAAAACCTATGCGACCTATCCCATCCCGGCTGAAATACCACCGCTCGAAATTCTGATCATCGATTGAATCTATTCATTTTATTTTTTGGGTGGGTCCCTTATTGGGTGTGTTTAATGTTTGCGAGATGGAAATATCTCCAGGATAAACCATGGTGCTGTGACTCCTGTGTTTTTCAGCGGGCAGGTTCAAAGTGGTACGCTTCACCATCAACAAGATCCGAGGCGGAGCCACAGATGGAAGAAAAACAACAACAGGGTACTTGGTGGTTTACCCCAGGAATCGTAAGTGGGTTATGCTTAAACCCAGCGAACTAAAATCCCGAAGAGATAGTGTGTATGAGTATATACATTATGAGTTACATACATTATATTACTCATATAATTACTATACATTATATAATATTATATAAGTAATATAGTGTAGTCCAGTGAAGCAACTGGAGTGCACGAAGCCACCTGCGATTCTTGGGGTGAAGCAGCAGGTGCGGACATATCCGGAGCAAAACATGCAGAGATGTGGTCCAGAACTATTATCTGGTTGGTGGTTTGGAACATGATTTTTATGACTTTCCATTCATTTGGGAATAATCATCATCCCAAGTGACGAAGTCCATCATTTTTCAGAGGGGTAGGTCAACCACCAACCAGTTATGTAATCTTAAAGTATAATAAATACCCTCTGGTAAACTAACAAAACTATGGAAAATCACCATTTCCAATGGGTAAATCCACTATAAATCACCATTTTCAATAGCTATGTTAGTCATTACCAGAGGGTACCTCCAATAAGACCCATCTCATGGATAGATCCGTTATAGGTGCCGCAGACCCGGAGAACTTCCAGCTGGACAGTGTGGTGTTGTTGAACCGTTCCTTGGCGAAAATGTTGAAGAATTTCCGCGCGGTCGGCACACGCGGTCAGTAATTAGAGGAGGGAACATCTAAAGTTTCACCTGATTTTTTAGGTCACACATGTTCTTCATCGAACTTCTTCGATTCATGAGGTTTGTTGATTCATAGATGGGTATCCCATACCTTCGCTAAGTTATGACAAGTGGTGTACGAAACGGACCCCGTTGTTGCTTCCAAAGGATACATTCTTGAGACATTTTGAGACCATACATCCTCATATTGTTTGTTATATCCTCACCAAAATCAGCATTATATTCCCATTGCAGTCCCCTAAAATGGTTGGTTGTATCTTCACATATCTTCAGCCTACTTTTGTTGTTTGCATTGCCTCCGTCTATAGCCATGAAATATAGTGCCCCTTGTCGAACTTGCCGTTGCGGAACAACCAGGTTGTGGCGCTCCCATCCATCGATCACTAGTGGACCAGCGTCATGAAGCCAATTATTGGCCACTTGGTATGGCCTAAGCCCCGAGCCTGGCCCTTCCAGTAAACTAACTAACATAGCTATTGAGAAGATAACCATAGATAACTCATTTATAGATGATCTGGTTGGTGGTTTCAAACAGCCCTGGCCCAAAAACCTGTCAGAGGTAGGTGACGCTTGCCAATCGTTTGGGTGGTTTGTTTCACAATGTCAGGAGGTGCGTCCTCCGAGCCATGTTTGGATGGTTTGTTCAAGCCCATTTGGGGCACACTGGCCACAGGTGCAAAGGTCACTGTGGTTCTCACTGACATGATCTGGTCTTCAAATGCTGGTTTGGGTAAAGTGTTGCCGGGTGGACAAATAGTTAGGGTCAGTGGACTTATCCCCCCTAGCGCTCACTGTGCCAATCGTGTTACCCTGGTTGACTGCAAGTTTCTGTCCGTTGGAATGATTGTGGACTTGGAAGTTGATGACTCCTCGACTGTCCTCTGTCACCAGTCGTTGTCCATGAGTCATGTCTTCAACCTGATCGAGATCTGTGCAGGGGTTGGACTTTCAGCACTTGGATTTGAAAAGGCAGGTTTTAGGCAGGTTTGTGCAGTTGAAAAGCAGCCGAAACTTGCAGCCCTGCACCAACGTGTCCACCCAGATGTCCCTGTCATTTGTGCCGACATCACTGACGACTCTGCAGTGTGCCAAGTGTTTGCCCAGTGCCCTGAACCTGCCACAGTCATGGCTGGATTTTCATGCCAACCATTCTCCCGAGGTGGGTCGCAGCAAGGAGAACATGACAGTAGGTCCACATCCCTGCCAGGAACACTGAGGTTCATGCACATGGTCCAAGCTCCTGCACTCATATTGGAATGTGTTGTGCCAGCAAGGACCAACCAGTATGTCCGTCAACATGTCCATGCACTGACGTCACAACTTGGATATCATGTGGTGGATTGCACCTTGAAGCTAGAAGATGTATGGAGTGCATGCCGATACAGATGGTGGGTCATAGCTACACACCCGTGTATTGGGGCAGTCAAAATTCCACCGTATCCACAGGGTTGCACGTTGGTAGTGAGAGATCTCATGCCGTATGTTCACCGCTGGCCTGCTGAGGATGAACACCAGCTTGTGCTGACACCAGAGGAAATCCGCAAGTTCCAGGCAGGTGGACTAGCCTTGAAGCAGTACGCAGTCAAACCTGAACAGAAGCTTCCCACTGCACTCCACTCCTGGGGTAATCAGACTACGGAGTGTCCTTGTCAGTGTAGGAGTCAGAGCTTTTCCGATGGACTTTTGATTGCCAAAGGGATTTACTCTCAGCTGTTGCAGATGCCACCCACAGATGATGCCCCTGGACTTTGGCGTCACTTGCATGTCCTTGAGGTTTCCTTGCTCAATGGTGTTCCGTTGCATCTCAGGTGGGGTCATGAACAAAGGTTGAACCTGTGCGCAGCTGGACAGATGGCAGCACCTTTGCATTCGATTTGGATTGCCTCGGCACTTGCCAGACATGTGCAATTGCTCTTCACCAATGACATGCCCCTTGAACCCACCAAGTTGCTCAATGACTTGAAACATGAAGTGTTACTTCAGAGTAAGCAGTTGTACCCTGATGTGCCGTCCACACCAACCATGCCCACCATGTGCACTGTCGTGATCAATGAACCGGGCTTACCAGAATGGACGTTGTCATTCCATTCTGCGGCCAAAGTTCAAGACTTGGTCCAAGCACACTGCCGTTTGCATGGGGTCGCCATTGACGATGTTTGGGTCAAAGATCCGGACGACAAGCTTGTCTCGCATGACACCAGCCTTGCCGAGCTGGTGAGACTCACCATTGGATGTACAGCAGCCATGTTTGTCCAACATCAACCGGATGCCATCCTTCTTGCAGCCCCCTTGTGTGAGGATGATTTTGAAGACCCAGAAGTTTTGCCAGCCTTGGCCACTCAGGTTGATGATCCCAATGATCATGACGCAATCATGGATTTCACAGATGACGTGCCAGCACCACATGATGCATCCGTTGCCAACCGCCCGTCCAATGTCCAAGATAACACGGTCGTAGGCCTAGGTAATCTTGATGCACATCAGCTTGTTGCCCAATTGCCACCCCTGGTGTTGGACTTGGATTTATGCTCCACCATGCGAGAACCTCTCCTGACAGCTGCAGCGAGACTTCACTTGTTGGACAGACAAGGTGGGGTGTGGGCAGATGATGAGGTCTGGTGGCAAATGCAAGCTCTTGGACCACTCACACGTCACACCAAAGTTGCAATGCTTGACCCTTTGCTTGCTACCACTTGGCTCGCTGCCCAAAATGTTGAGTCGGTGCGTCACTGGATTGATGTCCAGCCTGACTTTGATCGAATTGCCACTGTTGTTTTGCACCAAGGTCACTGGACTCCTTGCGTGTGGGTGAAGAAGCTTTGTGAGTTGGAGGTTCACTTGTGGGAACATGAATCGGTAGATGTGGAAGCCTTGAACCCCTTGCATGGACTCATGTGCCAAGCCTTGCAAGTTCCCATGTTTCAAACATCTTGCACACGACGTCAGTTTGGCCTTCAGAATTGTGGTGCAGCATCCATTGCCTTTCTTCAGTTCAAGCTCCATGGATTGAACCTGCCGGTTGATGATGCCCACCTTGCCTTTGCAGCTCAGAGCCTTCGTGAAGATTTCCGCATGTCACATGATGGATTTACTCACATGCCTAGGCCATGGTGTTGGGGTGCGGGTGTCCCTGAAGTCCTTGGAATCACAGCCACGATCCTTCAACAGCATGGTGTTCCCCAAAGTGCTTCAACTTCCCGAGCCAAGTTGCTGATGCAGAGCCTAGGCCCAGACAATGTGAAGCAAGCAGTCCAAGGCACCTCGCCCTGGAAAACCCTCAAGAGCTTAGCTAACCAGCAGACACCACCGTTCCAGTTGGTGTTGCCTGACGAACTGGCAGCGGTCCAACAAGAACGCAAGCCAAAGACCAGGAAAGCAAATGCAGCCGCTGCTGGACCCAGGAAACATCAGACCAGCAAGCCAGTTGAGCTTGATCCGACCAGGTTGGAATTGGCCGAGAACACGTTCAAAATGGATGATGGCACTGTTGCCATGCAGTTGCCGCTTGCACAGGTTGGACCATTGGCCTCAGGAGTTGCACTTGTTTCTTACCAAGATGCTCAGCCGTTTTTGCAATCAGGACGCCAGTTGACTGGTAAGGGCTTAGCATTGCTGGTGCTTAATGGGCCTGATGAACTTGTCACCAATTTGCCATGGTCATCGATCAGGTTTGCTGCCAAATGTGCGGTGAATCAACAACCGGTCCTACTGTCTGGCCATTTAGTTCAGCTTGGAGGGCAAAGCATTGGTCCGTACTTCCGATCTGACGGACATGCAGTTGCTGATGTACCGGTGGCCTGTGCCCGGCTCACTGTTTTTGCAGATCAAGTGCCACAAGACTGGGACACCTTCTCAGCACATCCGTTTAAGCATTTGCTTGCCATGCTCCCACCGCTGCAGTCATGTCGCAATGAGGAGTGCCAATGTGACAAGTGGCATGTGGATCAGATGTCGCAAGTTCATGATGTGCTGTTAGATGTGTTCAAAAGACAGTTCTTCACTGAGGCCGGCAGACCGACCAAACCGCAGTCTGCAAATCACTTCAGCGTGCACATCCGGTATCTTAAGTCCCAAGAACTTGCCCTGTTGCGCCTGTCAGGAACTCATGGAATTTATGTCGAGCCCAGGTTGCCAGACTCAACTTCCCCATCAGATGAGTTCCAAGTTGTATGGTTGCCACAGGCCACGTTTGCAACTGCTCAGCACCAAGCCCAGTGCGAGCCTTTGTGCATTGGTTTAGCCAGGTCTGGTCGACGTTTTGGCCTAAGGGTTGCCGCAAAGCAGTTTCAACAGCTGTTCCAGAAACTCAAGCCTGAAGGACAGTTCCTATCTCCGGGAACACGTCAGCTGTGGCACTGCGGCCCGTGGCCTTATGGTAGTGATCGCAAGTCTCTTGGCAAGGTTTTCACGGAATGGAGTTGGCAGGCCCGCCCTTTGCAGCCTGCAAAGCCAATCACAGGTGGTGTCATGTGGCTGATCCAATCAGTTGCCCCACCCCCACAGACAGTATACAACATGGCGCATGGCCAGGTGGTGATTTCCAAATGTGACTCCCTGCGAGATGGCATGATGACTACTGGTTCTGTAGTAGGGCCCCAAAGCACAGTGGACTTGTGTGCAGCCACGTCCAGCACTGACCCTTGGCTGGTACGTGACCCATGGCAGCAAGCCATTCAGCAGATGCCTAAGCAGCAGAGCCCAGATGTTGCCTCTCATTTGCAGGAGATGGAGGATCGGATGACTCAGCACATCCTTGACAAGTTGCCGCAGGGCATGGAGACCGACGAAACCGAAAATCGTCTCCAGCTCCTTGAGCACCAGTTACACCAACTGGCCACGCGCCACCAATCCTTGGAGAACACCGTCACCGAACACCACCGCCAGAACTCGGCCCAGGTCCAGACTCTCCAAGCTCAGATGATGTCCCAAATGGAAGTTCAAAGCACCCAGATGGCCCGTATGTTCAAGGACCAGATGACGAAGCTGGAGACCATCCTTTCAAAGAAGGGCCGATACCATGAGTGACGGTGTGGTAGCCACCCAAAGGCCCGTGTGGCTAACCAAAGTTCTAGGGCAACAAAGTTTCTTTTGTGGTTGATCATGATGTTCAACTTTTTCACTATGGCTCAGTGTAGGATCGGAGAAGCCAAGACGCCAGGGCCGTCGTCAGCCGACCACTCCAACACTTGGTCTTTGGGGATATGTAACCCATCCGGGTTACTGGGGAAAAGGGTTTTGCTTTCCGGAATCGATGCAGACGTGATTGCAGTGTCTGAGACCCACCTGACTAAGGTGGCCCGTTCCATGCTTGTGACCAGCCTCAGGTCCCACAGCCAGTACACCACAGTTGTGACGGGAGCACCCATGTCTTCCAGAGTTGCCGACAGTGCAGCTCGCACCTACTCAGGGGTTGCAGTGGTTGCCAAAGTTCCTTCACGCGCACTTTGCGCAGCATGGCCGCCTGACCTTTATGACACCGGCCGTGCACAAATCGTGGGCAGTTTGCTCAACAATGTTTGGGTCACGGGAGCAGTTTTGTATGGGTACCCCCAAGGCAAGACTCACCACAATGCCTTGGAGCGGACCACCAACATGCTGGAGTTCTTGTGTAACCACATGCTGACAGTGGCCTCAGGACCGAGATATCTCTGTGGGGATTGGAATTTTGAAACCAGCCAATTTCCAATTACCCAGCTGCTTTTGCAACATGGCTGGAAAGAGATCCAAGATCTTCACTTTCAGCGGACTGGCATGCCTCCACAGCATACGTGTAAGCGGTGCACCCAAAAAGATGTTCTGTGGATTTCCCCTGAACTTGTAGCCAGTTTTGTGGACTTACAGCTTGACCATGACAGGTTCCCGGACCACTCAGTTTTGCGAGCCCAGTTCAGCCTGAACACTGCCCATGCCTTAAGGTTTCTCTGGCCCATGCCTCAACCCGTGCCTTGGTTGCGAGTTCCTGCCATGAATGCTGAGCTTGATTTTTCTCATGCTTCCCCAACTGAACAATACCATCACCTGTGGGAGACCAAAGAGACTTTGGCCAAGCAAGCATTAGGCGCACAATGGAACCCATCAATGCAGGGTCGTGGCCAACGCCTTGCACCAACTGTTCGTAAAGGATGGGTTGCCCCTCCCAAGAAAGGGCGCAGCTCAGACAAGCAGCCAGCATTCCATGGATACAATGTCCAACATGCGAGGTGGATGAAGCAACTGCGACGCCTTCAGAACTATGCACGCTGGGCCCAAGTTCACTATGGGGTTGCCACTAGCACTGATGCCTTGCATGGACTCCAGCTTTGGAAAAGCATCCTTAATGCCCATGGGTTCACTGTTTCCTTTCAAGCATGGTGGAAATCTAGAGCGGTGGTTGGCCTTGGGGACCTTGGATTTATCCCTGACTTCCCTCCTGCACCGGCCATGGCTCATGGACTTTGTGATGCGTTTCATGGTGAGGTCATGCTTTTGGAACGAAGGCTCCAAGCTGCCAAGAAAACCACGCGCATTAGCCACCACAGCAGAGATGCAAACCTGGTCTATCAAGACACCCGTAGGCAGCCGCCTGAACCAGTCACAAGTTTGTTGGTCACCACCCGTGCCAGGATCACTGAGGTTGACCCAGATGAATGCGCCATCGAGTTCGAGCCCGAATGTGCCTTTGATGATGCAAAACCTGTGATTGCGGGAGGCAAAGCCATCCCTGTTATCCATGCAACAGACACCCGTCTGTACCTTGCTGATGTCACTGATGTCACCCCTGACATGCCAGTGCAACAAGTGGAACCCTTAGGTGCCTTGCCTGAGATATTTGCTGCATTCCATGAACAGTGGAAGCAAAGATGGTGCCGCTATGATGACATACCCCACAGCAGGTGGCAGCAACTCATTGACTTTGCACGGGCCACAATGCCTCGCAACCCAGTCCAAGCGGTTCAGATCTCTCCCGAACTTGTGCGTGCCGAAGCAGCTGCCAAAAAGCACACTGCAGCCACAGGTCTTGATGGAGTGAGTAGGTTGGATATTGTCCAAGCTGATGATGCATGCCTTCAGAGTATTTGCTCTCTGTACCGCAGAGCTGAAAATACTGGGCACTGGCCTAGCCAGATCACCACTGGCCGTGTGGCCTCACTGGCCAAGAAAGAAGGAGCGGCCACCACCAATGAGTTCAGACCAATAACCATCTTTTCAATCATCTACCGGGTCTACAGTGGCCTGCAAGCCCGCATGCTCCTGCGATGGTGTGATGACTGGACACATCCGGATGTGCATGGGAACAGAAGGGCCCATAGTACATCACACCTCTGGCGTACTATGGTGCATGCTATCCAGGTTGCCTATGACCAAAACAAACCGTTGAGCGGCCTGACAGCTGACATAGAGAAATGCTTCAATTGCCTTCCTCGGTGGCCCATCCTGGCCGCGGCCTTGCATGCCGGAGCACCCTGCTCGGTTTTGAATGCTTGGGCTGGCGCCCTAGCATCGATGTCCCGACGGTTTAAGGTTCGTGACTCCTACAGTGAGGGCTTTGTCACCAGCACCGGCTTGGCTGAAGGATGTGCTCTCAGCTGCTTTGGGATGTTGCTACTCGATGACATCCTGCACAGGTATGTCCAAGCCCAATACCCGTCTATCAGAGTCCTCAGCTTTGTCGATAACTGGGACTTCATGACATGGGATCAGACTGCGGCTGTGCAACAGCTGGATGCCCTTTTGACCTTTGCGGCCTTGACAGACCTCACAGTCGATAGGAAGAAAACTTTTGGCTGGTCCACTTCCGCTGATGTGCGAGCTGCAATGAGACAAAATGGACTCCCTGTCCAACACCAAGCCAAGGATCTCGGTGCCCATGTGGGTTTTTCCAGGCAGAGAACCAACCGTACGGTGGTGGAAAGACTTGATGGATTGCATGCCTTTTGGCAACAACTCAAAAACAGCAAAGCAGGTTTCCAGACCAAACTGCGTGCCTTACGCACTGTTGCTTGGCCACGCGGCCTTTATGCCATTGAAAGTGCTCCGGTTAGTGCTGCCACATGGACCTCTCAAAGGCAGCAAGCAGTGCAGGCCTTGCAATTTGATAAAGCTGGCATCAACCCGATGTTGCTTCTTGGACTTGTTGAAGCATTTGTTGATCCTGAACTTTTGGCTGTTTTGAAGACTGTTGCCGAAACACGGCTGCATTGCCCGTTTGACTTTTGGGCCAGTGACTTGTTCCCATTAGCTGCAGGCGTGGTGGATAGCCCTCCCACGGCACCAGCCGTTATCCTCCTTCATAGGATCCAAAAACTTGGACTGGTGGTTCACCCTGATGGGCAATGGGAGGATCAAGTTGGATTGTTTCATCCTGGCCTTGTGAATTACACTGAGTTGTGTCATCGCCTGCAGTGGCACTGGAATTCTTTTGTTGCCACCTCTGTTGGCCACCGTAAAGATTTTGCTGGTTTGCACTGGGTTGACACTGCCACCACTCGCAAGCACCTGCGAAACCTTCCTAAGGATGACCAAGCCTACATGCGGATCAGTCTTGCAGGCGGCCTTTTCACACAAGATGCCCACAGCCACTGGAATGAACAAGGTGGAGGCTGCAAGTGGTGCGGCCAACCTGACTCCTTGCAGCACAGGTACTTTGAGTGCCCACAGACACTGGACTTACGCACCTCCTGTGCACCTGATGTTTGCCGGCTCCGTGGACTTTTGCCTGATGCCATGGTTTTACGCTCTTGGGCGATACTCCCGCCCACTCACTTGTCCTGGCTTCGTTTGTTGGCGTCTGTCCCTGACACTGTGTCGTCCCTTGCTTGTGGTCTTGACACGGTTGGTTGGAATGAGGTTTTCACGGATGGTTCATGTCTTTGGCAAGCTTGTCCGTCCTACCGTGTGGCTGCTTGGGGTGCTGTCCTTGCTTGGCCTTCCACTTCCCCTTGGTTCAGCCGTGGAGTCCGTGTGTTGGGTTCTGGTCATGTGCCTGGGCTTTGTCAAACAGCCTACAGAGGTGAATTGTATGCTCTGGCGTTCGTGCTCCACCATGCCGCTTCAGTGGGCGCTAGGGTTAAGATCTTTTGTGACTGTTTGGGGGTTATTAATAAGTTCCACCGGCTCACTTCTGGCCTCACCCAAATCAAAGCCAATGCTGCCAGTGCTGACCTTTGGCGCTGGGTACTGGACTCGGTTGACAGACTGGGAGTTTGTAACATCAAGGTTTACAAAACTGCGGCCCACAAGAAGTTGCACCAAGCGCGCAGCCAGAGGGATGCATGGTTGATTTGGTACAATAACAAGGTGGATGCAGTCGCCAAGCAGGCCAATTTGAACAGGTCTGCAACTTTTTGGAGTGGATGGCAACAACATGTGGATGCCGTGCACGCGGCGCAGACGTTGCATGCTCAAGCCTGTGCGCTGCACTTGGCGGTTGCTAAGCGCAGCACACAGGAAGACCGAGTTTCCACCCTGGATGATGCTGCCCCAGCGGTGCCAAAGCCTTGTCGACAGTTCCCTTTGGTGTTTGACAACAGCAGGTGGCGGAATGAAATCCCACCAGCCTTTGCAGGTGAGTATGGTGCAGGACTTGCTCAACGAGTCTACAACTGGTGGCAAGCAAGGACCACGGGAGCAACCGTGGGGCCATTGCGGTGGATCACGTTTGCACATTTGTACGTTGATTACCAATTGGCCTATGGTTGTCCAGGACCAATCAAGAGTGGATCCAAATGGCTGGACCCTTTGACAAGGCCGTACCTAGAGCCTGAGAAACATCCTTTTCTTCATCGCTTGAAATGGTTCAAACGCTGCTTGAAGTATTTTTGGAAGCATACGGATTTGGTTGTTGGACTTGCGTTTTGCAGAGGAGAAGGAGAGAGCATACAAAGCTTTGTAGCCGCCGCAGCCTTGCCTTGGTGTACGGTGAGCTGGGCAGGTGCGGAGCATTGGCTCTCACAGGAGTTGGTACAGCCATGTCTCAGAGGTACCCAATCGTTGCAGGCGCTTCCTGTTGTGAAAGCTCAGCAGCGATATGCCATTTCAGAGGGCTCCCAACGAGTCCGAGGCATTTTCGATGCCTAGTTGGTCGTAATCAGACCTCACTCCTCACCCTGAGTAGGTCGACTCCGGAAAAGCGTGGAAAAGCGTGGTGGTTTCAAACATTTTTTGTTTTTCCAGAATGTATGGGATATGATATTATGGGATAATCCTTCCCATTGACTAATTTTTTCAAGTGATTTACTTTTCAAAAAAGTGTGTTTTGTTCCACTGTTTGGAAAACCTTTTGGGATGCACCCATTACTAGGATTGGGCTGAAACATATTGAAACCACCAGCGAATCACAAAACTGCACAGGAATTCCAGCTGCCAGAAAAAGTCATGGACGGAATCACTGTTCTTATGCAGTCCAAGGCCTAGGGCACTACACTGTAGGACTACCTGACTCTTTAGAAACAAAAGATACCTATAATTATGTGGAAACACTATGAAAACACATATTGCCAAAACATAACCAAGATATATATATATATATATTAAAGGCTATGGGTATAGTGTTCAGTCATGTTCGCTAAAACAGGTTTCATCTACCGCATTCCCCGGCTAAGGTTCCCATCGAGTTTTCCCTGCTCTGCTAAGGTTTGTAGAGATCCGTGAAGGGCCGGAGCTGGTAACAGGATATCAGTTGATCACGCACCGCACGGAAGGTGCAAATTCGCTGCTGTTGGGGGGTTGTATGCAAGGTACTTCTTGGATTTCTTTTTGCCAACGAGACATGAGCAGTAAAACAAAACTGGCTGGTGGTTTGGAACATGTTTAATTTTTCCATATTTTTCCATATATTGGGAATAATCATCCCAACTGACCAATACTTTTCAGAGGGGTTCAAACCACCAACCAGAATTGGTTGATGACCATACTGAATTATACTGCCCAATACAGGGATTATTGTTGGCCAAATATGAGGAAATTGACCTCACATGTTTTCCCCTCCAAGAAGACAGTCTTGTTGAAACAGAAAAGGCCACAACATTCATTGAAGAAAAAAACGATATGTACAGTAACCAACAGGAAGCGTGAAAATTACCATGTGGGAATTCTCTCTGGGCCGTGATGAGATTTGGCGCATTTGGGATTGGACGATTTTACAGGCTCGTTGCTTATATAAAGAAATTGGGGGGCTTACTGTAAATTTTAAACGCTTGGGCATACGATTTGCTCACAGGGAGCAGCCTCGTGATGACGTTTTATAAGAGTTTCCATGGAAAACGCGCACAGCTTTTCAGCTCCTTGATGATTCTGGATGTTTTACATTACTTGGAGATATTGAAGTCCAATCAATGACCATATCCTCTAGGAATCGTCTAGAGATCCCCGAAACAATGCAAATTGCATTTTGGATCTTTGTAATTTGGTGGATATGTGGGATCGATATTGCAAATATATAAATCTATGATAACATGTGATATATATATATACAACGTACCCTTGAATATTTTCTTTTCCCATAGATATATATATATATATTATATGTAAAGTATGAAAATCATTCTAATGTGTATATACTTATAAATGTTACAGATCTTGTAAATTTCCACCATGGCTCATCCCATTGAAGTTCCCCACGAACGAGTCAGGGGCCGAATGCGATCCCGTCTCCTGGGTGGTGGAAGGTTCAGTGGATGGAGTTCCTCTGAAAAACGGTGAGGTGGGTTGGGACATGTAAATGTTCCATGTGTATTTACTGTATATGTGTATTATATATAGATTTAGATATTATGGGTGGCATAAACTTTATAAGTGCATGAAATTAAAAGGGTGGTTTTTATGGCATTGCTGTACTAACATGTATGAAGAAACCATGTGGGAGAAATGTTATCTCCGTAATTAATGTTTACAGATATATAGTGTCCTAAACATTTCCAAGTATTTGTTCTTTCTCTATGTGTCAAAGGGGGTGATTTAGGGTACAAGATTTGGGTTGTAACCTGACACAACCGGGGACTTGGTTGGATCACCATATACCAACAAGTTTCCCAGTAGGCTCCAAGCTGAATGACGTTGGTGCGGAAACTCTCCAGGAGGCTCCAGGCATTCTTTGCATGTTTGGTTTATGGATGTAGTATTTGTATATACCCTCTGGTAAACATACAAAAAGCTATTGAACATGGCCATTTATAGTGAGTTTTCCCATTTAAAAAAATGGTGGATCTTTCCATAGTTATGTAAACGTTTACCAGAGGGTATTTGTCTTGCTGCCCTTACGCCTAAAAGATACGGAACCATTGGGAATGGTGGCTATTGCTGCAGAACCCGTGTCCAATCAACTCAGTTTCGCCATCCTGGGGAAACCGGATAATTCCACAGTTGGGTCCCCTTTTCCAAACCACGCCTGTTAGATTTGGCACCCAACTTTCAGTATTCATTTCGGGGGTATTGGTGAAGATTTGGGAACCCGGGGCCAACTATTTTTGTGAATTTTCCTCGCTATGCATTGATTCCTTCTCCGTTGGCTTTCTGGATCGGACACTCTGATTTGTTATTCGTTGCACTGACCCAAGGTCAATTGGCAATTGGTGGACCAGTGCCGCTCGGCAAAGCAGGAGCTGATACGACCTCATCTCGGGTGCCACCAGCTGAACGACGCATTTTGTTGAAGGTTGGCACCCAATATACCTTCTTAGCAGATCGTGCATGCACAGGAATATAGAAAGTGATTCTAAGAAGATGAAATCAGATGAAACATGATGAAACCTGAAATTCTAGGGATCCAACAGCCTCAGCAAAGCTCATTTTTTTTTTCGGGACGCTTAATTCAAAGCCTACCCGGCTGCAGGGTCCTGAGTCCTCGACTCCCCAGGGCCTCCCGGCCCTGGGATGACCGGTACGACTTTCAGATAGCTGGTAATTTATGGCAATTTAATTGTAGCTATGAACAAAACGTGCCATTTGTAGATGATTAGCCTGGCAAAAACGAATTTCAACTCTATATCTATATATATATATTATGTAAAACTGGTGATTTTCCATAGATCCCCATATGTTAAACTTCCAAATGGTGAGTTTTTATACTTTTCAAGGGTTGGCCTAAGCACGAAGCGGCAGCCCGGGATCTCCCCATGGTCCCAGGTAATGATGAGTCCATGCCACGGCAGAGGGAAAGCGCATCGCAGCACCTTGCATATATGGGACAGCTGATGATGTGTTGCAGTTAAGACCTGGGGTCCGGTAAGGCTATTTGATGTTAACTGTAATTAAAGTAAGTGTATAAATTAAGTGTATAACTATACAATATATACATGTATAAATTATATTTATATGTATAATAGTTAATGTTACTGTAATGAAACTAACTGTAATTAATGTTGATTGCAATCCAAATTATTTCAGTGTATTAGAGCCAATGTGATGTAAGTGTATAACTCTAGAGTGTTATATAGTCCCTGGCTATTATTGCAGTAATGATTACGGAAATAGGGTGTCTCGCAAATCGTGGATTATATAAATGTTGCGTTGCGGTGGCAGTTAGTGACAGCACGCACCGAGTGCACCGAGCACACTTGCAGAGCGTTGTAAACCATGATGAAACTAAGTAAAGCCGGACCGGATGCCATCCCCTGCTGTTTGACTTACTGTACAGGTAGGTTTTGAACCATCCCCAATTGAAGGTTAAGGTCTAGGTCACCATTGATTTACCACAGAACACAATGATAAATACATGCAATATCATGGGACCACAGGCATATATGCCCCAGTCACAAACCTTGGATCCTATCTTCATGCGATATACGACATTAATGCCCCAGTCCCTTGCCCTAATATGAGGCATACCGTCGGTCACAAAGTTTCTCTGTTGAATCCCAGGACACCGCGGTGAACGCACAAATTCCATGTCTGAAGTAGAGTAATTTGCCCGGATCAGTCCAGGTAGGTAATTAGTGGTAATTGTACATAGCATACGTAGGCGTCACCCCTGAAAATGACCAATCCGTTTTAAAACTGTTTAACATCAGGTAATCAGATGAATTTCAGGATTTTCCAAGGCAAAGGTTTTCCTTTTTTAGTGATTCATGAAATTCACATAGATTCACTACGACAACTCATGTTTGTAAGCGCAGCCTCATGAATCATCCAGAAGTGCCAGATTGGCTGATGGTTTCAAAGTTTCAGTTGTCATCACACATTTGGAATCCTTTGGAGGATAGGGAAGATGAACACATTTGAGTACAGTTGAGTATCATCAGCGGCCAGAGTCCAAGACATCAAACCTGCGAACTCCACGGGGTCTGCTTCTCCGGGAGATCGCTGAGGCAATATGAAGACCTTCTGCATCTTCCAGATGCACAGGCAGGGTGATTCAGAGGTGTTATGTGGCTGGGCGACCGAAATTGCTCGGCCAGCAGCCAACATTATGTTGACATCATGGTATCCAGTGGGTAACCATAACTTGATATTGACAAACCATGGGAAAATGCTCATGGGTGTTCCATGTCTATGTGGCAAGTGCTGTACTCAGTGTAGTTTATTGTAGGGGGCACCCACATTGAGGACACATAACAAGACCTCTAAAATGAGACTTTGTTGCCCAGGTATCATATAACTTTAACTCCTGGATGGTTGCGTGGCAATCATGAATTAACTGCTTTGGTCTCGGGGAAATCGACAGGAAGCAGTTCTTGTTTTGATCAAATTTAGAACTTAGAGGTTTCCTGGGAGATTTTCCCTTTATCCAAGTCTGAGACTGATTTGGAGTCTTCACCAGGTTTCCAAAGTGGTTTTATCATGTTTTATCCATCCATCTAATTGAAATCATTCAGCCAAATGTTGCGTTGTTGGTAAGACACCACGCAACTAAACGGCTCTTGAAATCCTTTTGAAACCTTCCTCGCACCCATTGAAACCTGTTATAAAACACTGTAAACATATTAAAACCCTTCGTTAAAACCCCCTTTGACACTCTTCGTTAGAGCTGCCTGAAACCTCTTAAGCCTCCTAAAAATTGATCCCTCTCCAGGCGGCTTTTCGTCAAGGTTTCCTCGCTGAAGCCGCTGCCTGCGCTGCCTCCTTCGCCTGGCTGGTGCTAGGCGAGACACATCGGGATGTCACCTCCATGGATACGAAATGTGGAATGATATGGAGGTTTTCTAAGTTATGGGGGATCCCAAAATGGATCGTTTATTTCTACTGAAAATCTTATTTTTTAATGAAAGATTGGGGGATACCCCCAGTTTAGGAAACCCTCATATCATGTAATTAAATGTGAACGGAAAGATATATTTAAAAAAACAGGCAAACACATGCAAAAACCCACTATAACATCATGACAGTAGTCTAAACAAAAACATGTATGCAGTGTTAATTTGCTGGAGCTTGAGCGACAAAAAGTGTAGATCTATCAATGCAAAGCCGTGATGGTTTAACATTTAAAAACTCGGATGTGACAAACCCAAACATTGAGATTGGAACTACCCTCTGGTAAACTAACATAACTATGGAAAATCACCATTTTCAATGGGAAAATCCACTATAAATGGCCATTTTCAATAGCTATGTTAGTTTACCAGAGGGTAATTGGAACTGATGGCAGCAGCCATTCTTTCAAGGTTCTCGGCCACTCAGCCACTAACGCGGCCAGGAACCAGCTGGGTGAGTGCGGGCACGGAAGCCTGCGTAGATTCGGCGCCGCACTTGTGGTCGCTTTGCGGGTAACGGGCGGACGGGGGCGACCAACAGAAACGCCTTCTTGCTATTTAACAGTTTGCTATGGACAATGGATAATGGTCCATTTATAGATGATGTATGATGATTTACCGTTCTCAAAAAAAATCATATAGGATTATACACTATAAGCATCTATAAGCCATCAAACTCACAACAAAATGAGAGATTCAGCAACACAAATTGTGGTAGAACCAAGCAACATGGGAATACACCAGTATAGATGACATGAGAACTGGATAGACCTGGTACAAAGAAGACCTTCAACATCTTATCCTTGCACCATGTTTTTTTGTTGAACCATTGCCACAGTATATCCATTTGTTAGCCATGCTTCATATCATCCCATGGCTGGGAACTCCCCGAAGTTTTTTTTTTCGACATTTGAAAGGGAAACAATCTATATACCCGGCCTGGTAAACATACAAAAAGCGACATTGAACATGGCCCAGTCGAAATAGTGGATTTTCCCATTAAAAAATTGTGATGTTCCATAGCTATGTTAAATTGCCAGAGGGTAAAATGATGTGATTTTCACGCATGTTCATGCATTTTCACGGTAGCGGGGACCAGCAGTTCGAATATGAAAGTTAACATATCGATCGCCGCGGAAGGACTTTGCAGATAGAATATGCCAAATGTGGGGTGCCAAATGTATGTTAATGTATTTTTAATGGTATTTTCATGTTTATTTACACCAGAGGGTCATCCTCCAGGGTCTGTTGGTGACCCGACCCTTCCAAGGTATTGGTCCTACTTCCTGGTAGTGGTGATGTGGTCCTCCTTGGGGACCGTGACCATCGGCCTGATCGTGCCTAGACCCAGGTGGTTGCAGCTAGATGCAGCTAGCATAGTTAGTGTGGCTTTTAGGCTTTTGTCAGTTTAAAAACATCGTTTATTCATCATTTATATCATTTTATATCAGCAAATGCATGGAATCATTGGAATCTACATCATTATACATCAACTCCCCAATCGCTGGCCGCCTTTGGGCACCCGTTCTGAACCCATCTCAGGTTTGCGCAGTTGCAATGATTATGGTGGGTAGCAAATCGCCCTAGGGAAACCGCACGGAGGCGAGAAAAATCCTTGGAGATCCCAGGAAGCTTAGGTTTCAGTGTTCTTTCCCGCCAGTATGAAATATCCCCTTGGAAACCTTAGTATTGAACCTGACCATTTTGTTGGGTCATGTTGGCTCGTTTTTTTTTGTTTTTTTTGCGGAAGTAAAGTCCAAACTGTAAGCAGAGGGATTTTCCGGGCTATGATGATCCATTTTGAGGTGCCATTGCCGCAACCGCAGACATTGGTCCAGAAAAAAGCAAACACTTATCCAATGGAGAAAGTGTCAGATTCATATTGATGTGCCGCATGCCTGAGAAAAATACAGCACCTGCTACTGATAAGTATACTTAACTAAGTGACAATACATGTTCGTAGCTAGCAAATGCACATGTTGCCGTCCTTGACTGGGATTTCCAGGGCAACATATCATGGCATTTGTTCGCCCTTGATGTTGTCGGAGTCAGAGCTGACAAACAAGTGATTCTCCCTATGGCAGGGTGAGCCAATGTGACGTTGATGGTTTAGTTGGAGCAACGCATTTTTTCTGTCTTTTGCTCATGTGCGAGATAGAGTCATGACTACGAGATCCACCAACAGACTTCAGAGGATCCATTGTCCAAGCTGGAAAACCTCAAGAGCCCAGTTTTTTGCTGATTTCTGTTCTCAACATCTTAGCCATTGTTGGAAGTGCCCAATGATCCAATGTTTGTGATCCATTTTCATAACATGAAAATATAAGTGGGAGAACGTCGTTGAAGACATATGGATATATATGGTGTCACCCGTCCCTGGAGATTCACGATGCGAAGTGGCACCCCCAAAGTCTGCCTGGAAACGTCGGCAGTGGGGAGCCAGGACCATGGGTCACTGCGTTTCAGCGCGCGCCGACAAAAAAGGGTCCGCAGGGTGGCAGGGTGCGGAGTGAAGGCCCCGGAAGCATCATACACAGTATGATTGGCGGCTTTGATAACAACCTCACCAGGATAGAAGTGGATCAATTGGATCTACATGGCAATACATGATAACCGTTGGGAGGGTTTCAACCATTGCTTGGCCACCAAACAATAGATGTGTTGCCTCAGAATCGGACAAAATGGAAAGAATCGCCCCTGGAAATCCAAAAAACACATATCTATAATATCTATAATATATATATAATATAATATAATACAATAAAATATAATATAATATATAATATAATATTTCTTTAAATTTGAAAGTGATATATACTCTTATGTGTATATATGTATCTGTACGTATATCATTGCACATTATGCAGACAGTCACGTCTAGACGACCGGTGACGCCGACCTGGGATTGCCGAGGCGATTGGCGTCATGGCCTTCACCATGCTCAGTGGCGATATGCCCTTCCAGGCGGGGATCCCTTCGTGAGTTGACAAAGTTGGAAAACGATTTAATGGGATTTTATGGTGATTTAATGGGACTTTATGGTGATTTAATGGGACTTTATGGTGATTTAATGGGACTTTATGGTGATTTAACGGGACTTTATGGTGATTTAATGGGACTTTATGGTGATTTAATGGGACTTTATGGTGTTTTAATGGGATTTTATAGTGATTTAGTGGGATTTTATGGTGATTTAATGGGACTTTATGGTGATTTAATGGGATATTAATGGGATATACCCTCTGGTTATGACTAACATAGCCATGGTTTAGATGGCCCATAGAAATAGATGGTTTACCGAACTTAAACATGGTGATTTTCCATGGCTATGTTAAATAACCAGAGGGTAACTGTTATGTTGGGTAAATTCATATCATGGGAATGTCATGGGAATATGAAATATAGTGGGAATAACATTTGACTATAATGAGAATTATCGTGGGAAAACCATGGGAATGTCATGGGAATATGAATATAATGCGGGTAAAATAATGTCATTAATAAACCATCCGCCAGTCATCACCATCTTTATAGGCGGTATGTTTACCATTCCCAGTCATGGGTAGTTGACTCCTGGAGACTCCTGCAGATGGCGATGGAGAGAGAGATACCTAGCATAGATGGAACAGATGTCTAAGGAACGGAAATCACCAACTTTATGGTGGATTTACCAGGTTTAGCATTGGGATTTAACTAGGGACAATGGGTATAACATGCGGATACTCTGAGGTAAATTAACCTATAAATATAGATCTTAACAAAAAACATGGTACAACCCTAGGAACATGATCTAGTTTTATGCTAAACTTCCCACATCGAGTTTTTTTTGTGTTTCCTGGAGGGTAACTATACAAGTTTAACTGATGTTTATGGTGGGTATATTTCATGATGCATATATTATAAAGTTGAATTTAAGGATTAATAAAGCAACTACTGAACCATTTGAGGTGCCCACCTGGTCTAAACCATCACTGGCTGACGCCGCTGTGGTTATATATATATATATATATGATGTGGTTTTTTCAAAAAACAGGGGAAAACAGCCCAGCAGTGGCAAACTTTTTCTGATTTGGGAATGATGTCAATTTGCCCACATAGAAGCAAACCCAGCCATCAAATAAACACTTTATGAGTCTGAGAGTCAAGAAACAAATCCGGTTCACCGTGGAAACCAGATTTGATTCAGCAGAAACATGAGTTTAGTCCTCAAAAGACCTTCGCCGGCATAGACAGAAACAGAGGTGGAACCTCAAAAAAGGGTTTGGATTTGATGTTTTAAATATATACTATTGTGTTCCTGGCCATTTGAGGGTTCTTTGGTTGGGTTGCGTGTGGAACAATCGGGGGGGCAGCAACAATGGAAATGCATCACAAGGAGTATACAACTGGACATAGTATCATCGAACATGGCATTGCATATACGGTAATTATTATTTATACAATAATATATATATATACATATGTATGTATCATATGTATAACATATATGTAACATATATATCACATATATACAGTAACTTAAATGTAACATATATCATACCTGGATGAATCTGATCATGACCTCATTTCGTGACGTGGCTGGATCGACGGTTTTATCCCCAAATGGCCCAACTGTTCAGCTCTACTGAAATAGTTTAACTCAGTTAGATTAGAAGAATGATAATTTTTCATAATGCGAACCGTGAAAAAAAAAGCTGAAAGTATGTCAAATTACCAGAAGGGATGATCATTTTTCTTGTTGATATCCCATTAGATCCCATTAGATCCCATTATATCCCAATGAAAATCCTCATTAAATCACCATAAAATCCCATTAAATCACCATAAAGTGCCATTAAATCACTATCAAATCCTCATTAAATCACCATTACATCCCCAAATTCGAAAAATCCACGGGGATTTGCACAGCATCCAACCAGCAGAAAAACCCGAGGCCTCCTCTCTTTCCGAGCTCCGCGAGGCCCATGCGAACCTTGGATCTGGGATGATTCCTGATGGAGAATACCCCCTGGCATCATGGGATTTATGATGATTTAATGGGATTTTATAGTGTTTTATGAGATTTTATAGTGATTTAATGGGATCTATGGTGATTTAATGGGATTTTATATATAATGGGATATTAATGGGATATACCCTCTGGTAAAACATACAAAAAGCTATTGAAAATTAACATTTAATTTATAGTGGATTTACCCAGCTATAACATGGTGATTTTCCATAGTTATGTGGCTGTTTACCAGAGGGTATTTCAATTGAATGAGTCATGAAGATCTGTAGATTTCTGTAACTGTTAGTAGCTGCCAAATATAACCACAGATTTTTGCATCTCCCTGAATTTGAAGCAATAACCAGTGATGGCAGTTCCTCCGCAATCCCTCCAAGTTTTTTGTTTGGCTGATTCTTTTAAACTTGATACAATGCTCCAAGCCAAATCCCTCGTGTGAATGCGAAGATTTGGGGTGGATCATGTCAGGGACTCCACCACAAACTACCTGATGGTCAAATTGATTGGTTGGTCCTAGACCTGTGTGACAGTCAGGGGCATTTCTGCACTGCTCCACTCACAGTTTTTCCTCGCGAACCTAGCAATGTCAATGCATTCAAAAATGTAGGATGCCACAATGCCTTAAGAACCGGTTTCCCTGATCAAAAACAATGGCTGCATGTGGCTGCAAGGTTCCGCACTTGTTGACACACCCAAATCAACGATGCGACACGGAGAATTGCTTGGGTCATTTTGGGGCGGGGGGAAATTCCATGAAATTCCCAAGCTGCTCAGCCCCAGGAAACCCTTGGCCACGGAAAGCATTTTCAGCCACGTGACGCCCCAAGTGAAATCGCTAGTGCTGGGCTTGTTGGATGCAGATCAGGAGCACCGGGTGGACTTCGTAGGTCGGCCGAAAGGGGTCTCCAAAGAGATAGAAAACACATGTTCCAGGATGTTGTAGATCATATATGTGGGGGATTGTTATATTATAAATCGGAATGTGTGATCAGTGATCATTCTTTTTGGTGTGGAACCATCCCATCTCATGGGTTTCCTGTCAAGTGAAGGGAACATTGACAAAATTCATGATAGACACAATCAATCTGTTCCTGCACAAGCCCTTCCCCTAATACCCCGAATCAAAACCCTGGTTTAGTTATCAGATGTTTTCATTTCTGAGTTCCATTTAGGGGAATTTCCAAGGGAAATCATCAGGTTTATCCAGTAGGTCACCCAAACGAGGGGGAAAAGGATCTACCGTCCCTGAAATGGTTCTGTTTTAAACATAGTTTAAAGTTTAAAATCAACCTATAGCTAGTCCTCCGGTAAATTATGGAAAATCCATGGTTTTCACTAGGCAAAGGATCTAGCAGGGCGTCGACACCCCCCAGTCAAGGAGAAGCGTCTTACCGTGGACCAGGCTTTGGAGTTTTTTGGCTCACCAGGCCATGTGTTTTTTTGTCTAAGGCTTGATTTTACAAAAGATATAACAACATTATATATATATAGATAGATATATAAGACATAATATGAAGATTCATGATTCTAGCCAATAATCCTTATTCATGATATTTAGGGCAGCACATCAATCACATCCCTGGATATCCCTGGTGGCTTCATGACCTTTAGAGGAATGTGGGAGTTAGACGGTGGTGAGCTGCAAGGTACCGGGATATGGTGTAGCCAACAAAGGCGGTACTGTACCAATCATTGGTGGCTTCGGTTTCTTCATTTTTTCATACTGAATTGGGAAAGTAATCACATTGTGATTCTTTTGTTTGGGCACATGGGGCACTTCTTGAGAGCATCATCACATTTGAATTACATTTGATGTTTTTTCCGCCCTATTGAGCCCTGGATATCCATGGTTTAGTCGGTTCGATGATCAGCTGACCTGTTGGGTTAACGGCACCGTTCACCCTGGAAAATCCCAGATCTTGGGTGGATTTGGGTGAACTCACTAAGATTTAAGTGGAGATCTAAGGCTTAATCTAAGGGTGCAATTGATGATACAGTAAAGCCCAAATATCATCAAATATCATCAAGTAAGGTTTGATGGTTCAGAACCTCTTGATACGCAGGGGCAGGACACCTGGGGGACTTCCACCACCAAGGCTGTTGGAACACGACCGCTGCCTGACGGATGGCAGTTCAGGCAAGTTGCCCTTGAAGGTTCAGCGGGTCAAGAGCCAGTCCTGGAGTTGCTCAGCAGGATGCGGGATCCGACAGAATCTCCATGATTTTTCCAAAATCCCCACCCTGTGTATGTTAAGTATTCGTTGGTGATATCCCTGAGGTTGCATTCCAGTACATACATGTACATACTATTACTATACTACATATATATATATATATATTATATTGAAAAACATGCAAATCCATGTAAATCCATATTTGTACATGTTCCACTTTGGAACACGCCCAAAAAAGCTCTGCCGACCAAGGTTTTTGTCCTGACCTGAAACCACCGGAGGCACACAACGGAGTTTATGGGGCCGGAGTGGTGTGCGGGATATGACCAAGCATTGAGATTCATGTAGCACACAAGCACAAAATAGATAGAATCGTTGTAAACTGGACACATGAGATTTGAAAACGATACCACCTTTTGAACATGCTTCTATCTTTTGGGGGTTCCTATGCATGATGGATGTACTGTACATATGTGTACAACCCATTTATGGTACCAAAGGGGATTGTTGTTTATGGGGCTTGCCGGTTGACCCCGTTGCATCCGCTTGTTCATCATAAAATTTCCCTGGAAAAAAAGTTTAAGGCACACCACTTTACCTTTTCGGACGCACTCAATTATATGATTGCTTTTGCTGGCAAAAAAATGGATAGAGAGAGATAGATACCGCGAGATAGCGATGGACAGAGAGAAAGAGAGAGAGAGAGAGATGATGATGGATACCTCGAAGGAATCGATGGTCATAGTTACACCAGAGAATATCCCGCAAGATGCGATCATTCTTTTGAAGTAGTGCATACATGTATAAGACGTCGGGAAGGGAGGTTTGTGTTTTCTGTTTAAGACCACCTTCAATGGTTTTTGCTGTTCATATCTTGAGTGGAAAGGTAGGGCATGTCCAGCATTTCGATCAGATCACTCCAACAACAGCCTCAGCATTCGACTACACCAAGGTTTTGTAAGTTTATGCCATTCGATCTTATGTCAGCTGGGAGATTCTTTATATTATTGGTTCTCCTGTGACTCGCGATTGCACATTGAGGAACTGAGGCTGCATGGAAGAGTTATCCTTGGCTCAGTGATGCATTTCTGTTCATTTCACATCTATTTTGAACAACACAAATCTGCTGATACAAAAAGTGATAGTAACCCTAACCCCCATAAAAATAGAGAAGTAGTTCTCTACGAACATAATAGTGATAGTGATAAAGAAGACCTTTTATTATTTGTTTGGGGGTTACTACATTGCATACCTGCTACTTCATGATGTTGATGATGTTGCATGTGTCCGCTGCTCGCAACCCTTCAAATTTCCCTAGGTGAAGACATTGTACCTTATCCGTCATGGTGAAGCAGCGGCTTGACATGTGGATGTTGGGCGATGACTGCATGGGGAACGACTAGAAATCACCAAGCAAATGGAGGTGTTGAATGGGCAAATCACCTATATGGGCCACCTTTTGTACTAAAAAACAACATTAAACTTTCAATCAGCAATACATTGGAACTTTGTGAGGTTCCAATCTATATAGTGGTGGTCGTGCCCCCATCAAGCCTCAGGAAATCTCAAGGTTCAGACCCCTCGCTCAGGTGCACAACATTAAAGAACGACAAGCCATGCAGAGCGCCAAAACTCAGGTCGCTTGTCATTTACAGACCCTGCCGGTTACCAAAATCTGAATCTGAAGCTGGAAATTCTTGAAATTGGCCATTGCACGCCACTCTCACATCATATCCAATTTGGATCAATTTGGGGAATCGTTGCTCAATCATGTTTCAAAGGATTCCAAGTAAAAACTCCTGTGGGGCACGTTCCTTAATGAAGAGTCTTTGATTTGACACGGCCAGAACCGTGTCTCTGAGACGGCTAGCCGGGACTTTGCAGTTCATGTTTTCTTACCCAATTTTGGTATATCGTTTTTTTCAAGATCTCGGAAAAAATACATCCTGTGTCATATAGTATACAAACAAATATCGGGATACAGATGTATATAGACTAATGTAGATATGGAATGATATACACAGAGGTTGGTACGACAGGGACAATGATCCCAACAGGCTGCCCACTGATGGATGGTTAAATCTCCTGATGACGGACAGCAAGCTATGTGAAATGTTGAAATGATGTAAAGCACAAGAAGATCTTGCACGATCGCCTCTAGCAGCTCTAGCAACCCCAAAACAGATAGACACACATAAATATATATATATATACATTAAACACATATAATCATACTTATGTGATATGTGTTTTTTTTCTGACATGGGCATTTTTTGCGAGATGCTATATATATTATGTCTATATACATATATATATATATATGTATATTATATATATATATATATGTATGTATATATGTATATATATATGGGTAAATTATAACGACCTCACTGAGACCTCACTGGAATCATGGTTAGTGAGGGAAATCATCCCCCTTTTATGGCCTTAAGATTCAGGTTAGTGAAATATTATAATTTACCCAGATATACCCTCTGATAAACTAACATAACTATGGAAAATCACCATTTTCAATGGGTAAATCCACTATTTCTATGGCCATTTCACCATGGGTGGACAGCCATGGTACCATGGTACCACTGGCGAGGCCATGATGGAAGGCTTGACGCCCAGCTCCAAGGATTTCCAGCAACGGGTCGAAGCTGCCAGGCGGCGGGGGCGCAAAAAAAACCATGCGATTTATGTTGTTTTTACATGGTTTTTGATGGATTTCTATGGATTCTTGATGGATTTTTGATGGATTTCTATTGATTGTTGATGGATTTCTATGGATTTCTGATGGATTTCTAGAGATTTTGATGGTTTTCTATGGATTTTTGATTGATTTCTATTGATTGTTGATGGATTTCCATGGATTTTGATGGATTTCTATGGGTTTTGATGGATTTCTATTGAATGTTGATATGGATTTTTGATGGATTTTTGATGGATTTCTATTGATTGTTGATGGATTTCTATGGATTTTTGATGGATTTCTATGGGTTTTGATGGATTTCTCTTGATTGTTGATGGATTTCTCTTGATTGTTGATGGATTTCTATGGATTGTTGATGGATTTTGATGGTTTTCTATGGATTTTGATGGTTTTCTATGGATTTTGATGGATTTCTATTGATTGTTGATGGATTTCTATGGATTGTTGATAGATTTCTATGGATTGTTGATGGTTTTCTATGGATTGTTGATGGTTTGCTATGGATTTTTGATGGGTTTTCTATGGATTTTTGATTGATTTCTATTGATTGTTGATGGATTTCTATGGATTGTTGATAGATTTCTATGGATTGTTGATGGTTTTCTATGGATTGTTGATGGTTTGCTATGGATTTTTGATGGGTTTTCTATGGATTTTTGATTGATTTCTATTGATTGTTGATGGATTTCTATGGATTTTTGATGGATTTCTATGGATTTTTGATGGCTTTGAATCGATGTTTATGGGTATTTGTTGCGGATTTCGATGGATTTTGAAGTTTATGTTTGGCTGGCCCATCAATGGAATGACAGCCTCGGACTTATGAATTTCAGGGTCTTGACCTGTAATTATCCCCATGTGATTTTTCAATGCTTCTGGTGACATACTTCAGTTTTTTATGGCTTACTGGTATGGTGTTTGGAGAAGTTTCGGCTGACGTTTACTTTGGCTCTTTGAATTTGTGACACCCTCTTCCTTGAATCTTGACCCTGGACCTAAGTGTTTGCAGTTCTCATCATCCTGAATCTGATGTTAGCAGGGTTCGGGGTGTGATCCAAATTTTGGCTGTTGATTTCTGTTGGCTCATCGATCCTCACATGTTTACTGGTCAAGGCGGCAGGATGGATAGGATGCCCCTCTCTCGTTTTCAAAGTCCTAAATTGGTTGGATAGAACCCATGTTCTAGTTTACCAAACCTATGGGTGTAGACTATGAATTTGAATTTATGCACATGAATAATCATAAATGCATTTATATAGATACATTTAATTATATAATATGTACATACAAAAATTTGATTTGATCCCACTTGATATATATATATATATGGAATCTATTTAATTTCTAAATGATCGACATGACATAGTGTTAAGTCAAGTCCACAATTTTCATCATCCATAGATAACAGTTAAACAAACACATGTTGTTGCAACACAAATCCATCAAAATCCATAAGTATCCTTGAACATTATTGATAAGCAATTCCAGAAGAAAAACCCTAAAACTTAAGAACACAAACATCAAATTCCACAAGAAAATCCCTAAAAATCAACAAAATCCATCCAATTCCACAAGAAAATCCCTAAAAATCAACAAAATCCATCAAATTCCATAAGAACATCCCCAAAACATGTACAGAATCCATGAAATTCCGGTGATTTCTTCACCCAAAAAAGACCTGCCACGTGTCGTTGTCGACAACGAGGCGCAACGTGCTGCTGGACGAATCACTGCTGGACGCCGCGCTGTCGCCCTCGGGGAAGATGCAGGCACTGGACGCCCTGGCGGAGATCAAGAGACTCACCATGCGCCTTGAAGGATGTTACACGTATTTTATGGGGAAGTAATGAAATGATTATTAATGGGTAATAAATGTGAATCATTGGTAACAAGAGATAATAACATATGATAATGGGATAATGATGGGATACTAATGGCTAATCAATTGGTAATCTATGACTGGTTGGTGGTTTGGAACATGAATTTTATTTTCTCATATATTGGGAATGTCATAATCCCAACTGACTTTCATATTTTTCAGAGGGGTTGAAACCACCAACCAGTATATATAATCAAATGGGATATATACTATACATATGCATTTGTTTATATATGTATACATTGTATGCCGTATATCTAAGAACCTAGATGTGATATATAAATATGTATATTTGCAACCAACAACTGGGATACACATATGTAAATGTAATTAAATGTCTATATGTACATGTATATATAGGGCAATAGGCAATAGTGGGATAAACATGGGACAATAATGGGATAGTCATGGATGAGTATGGAATAAGTATAATAAACCGTCCCCAGTAGAGGTTTATGAAATTGGGTAACCAACCGATGATACCTCCATATATTTATATACAATGGGGATAGTGCGGTAAACCCAATATTGGTGTGATATCGTGTGGATATTATATAGAATGGGATAATATGGGATATCATGGAATAATAGTGTGACAATCATGGATCATTATGGGGTAGCAGATGATAACATAATATTATATATATATGTATGGAATGGTGACTACGATTACAGTATGTTACATCTGGACATCGGCCCTGAGGCAAGGTTACCCGCAACCCACGGCCATTTACGTGTCGCCCTTGCAACGGACCTTGCAAACGGCGGCCATCCTCTTCCCGGAACATCCTGGGATTCATGTCGCTCGGTCAATGTCACTGTGAGGCCGTCCATTGGGGAAATCGCAACCGTTGACACACGTAACTTGCTCAACGTTTGGGTTGCTTGAAGGATCATTCTACTCATAATCTTACTGTAGTGGGAGGTCAAGAACCCCGAGTTAGTAAGTCCTCAAAGCGTGGTTGTCTCAATTCTCAGTGGAGAACGTTGGCGACAGCCATGGTTACCAATCAATCCACCAGGTTTAAGTTGGTTTGTAAACCCGCTACATGTAATATACAGTGTACATATCTATAGACATTGAATCATATACACGATAAACCCATCCATTTTCCTACAGAATCCTGTATATATATATATGTACATTCAACAAATCTACAGCTAGTTGCAGGCAGTCAAACTCCAATATGTTGTGCTGGGTGAACTCACATTTGTTGTTGCTTATATAAGCATGCATTGCTACTTGGAGGATCATCCCACTTGGTAGCTGCTTAGTAAGCTTGCTTGATAAGTCGCCTGAATAGATTGCTATCCGTGGGGATGATCCTCCAAGTCAATTCCATGATATTCCCATTGTATTCCAATAAAGCCACTAACACAACTACAATACACATATAGAACAACAATTAAAACAGCCGAAAAACAAAAAAACTTAAAGAACACCGACACAAATAACTAACCATATCCATCAAAATATATCAAAATATCAACACCACATGAGAAAACACAATTTTCCCCGTTGGTTCCACTCCCCCGCCACCAGGTCCGTGAGGAACTGCGTGAGCGTCGGACAGGTTTGCCCTGTGACCAGCGTCAACGGGCGGAGCCTCGGCGGAGGAACTTCGTTCAATATAGGATATTTGATATATGTGATATATATATATACCCTTTGGTTATTTAACATAGCCATGGAAAATCCCTTATAAATGGAGGTTTTAATGGGAAAATTATCTATAAATGGGCCATTTTCCATGGCTATGTTAAATAACCAGAGGGTATATATAATTAGATAGATATGGATAATTATATTATATATGTATATGTATATGTATGTATATGTATGTGCGTGTAATTCCAAATGCATGAATGCATGTAATATGATGAATATACAATGAAATATATGGTGAATGCCTATATCAACATCTGTTTTACCAATATATTTGATTGGTATCAAGTCTCATTCCATTGCACCAGACATTTGGGATTCACCATTTATTACATATATTCCATAGTATATTGTATTTCCATATGTTTAACCATTAATATGTTCGTTCGTTGGGTTATATTTGTTGCGGTTGTTCCATGTATGTGTAATTGGGATTGATGGGGTCATAGTCATCAGTCATATTAACTCCACACAAAAAATATTAAGTCCCTGATTCCGTGCATCTTCCATGTGTATATAGGGATGGTTATTAAATGGTTAATTAACAGTTTATTTAACGGAAACTAAGGAGCAACTAATTGGGATCTTAACATTTAGAACGGGTATTTACACCGGAATAAATCTTGACCCTTAAAACAGCCCGTTTTTGCTGGAAACTAATCTTTCAATTTAGGACTCATGGCAGGGCCAACGTGTCAATTTGGGGAGAGTCATTTGGTATATATGTTGTATGATTATGAATCGATGATAATAACCACACATTAAACTCCATTTGGATATGATATGTAATGAATTATCACTTTGTCATGGATAATATATTCAGCCTTTGAGGACTCCTCATGGTCCGCTCTAGGGCGGTTTGGCGGAGCACCGTACATGAAAAAAAACAAGGTTGGTATAAACCATGCCCAAATGGTATGTTGCTTATGTTTACCACATTGTTGTACATAATGATCTATAACATGACAAGAGCCTTTTCTCGTGCATTGCAGGTCTAAGTTCAGCCACTTGATCTGATTGGATCAAATCCAGGTGCTCAGCAAGCTTCCATATATGTGTGTTATAAATAAATATGTATATATATAATATATATATATAATATATAATATATATAATATAATATAATATATATATATATGTATGTGTGTGTGTCTGATTTCATAAATTTATATATACACATGTTTTCCAATTGTTTTTTGGATATATGTATATATATATATAAATATGTGTGTGTGTCTGTGTGATTATAAATGTATATATATATGATTATGATGATGATGATGATGATGATGATCCAGACTGTTCGGAAATTTGGTTCAGCTGCGGTGCATTACCACCTGCCTGGGTCCCCTGTTTCTTTTCAGGATTTAGTGGCAATGCGACAGACCTTCAACTTCATGTCCTTTGAGCCTTGGTCCAATTGCTTGGTGAGTGGCGAATGAGTGGTGAATGATGGGATAGGGTGACTTTTTTCCACAACAGACTTGGATCTGCGATTTGTCGATGTTTTTTTCCCAGTGGGAAATCCACTAGGAAGGAGAACTTGTTCTTTCTTTCGTCTATACATATAATTATGTAATTATGCATCTGATTAATTGATTATATATATATAGGGATATATAGGGAATATTTTTTATATCTTGGGGTTCCTTGCACAAGCAAGTCCAAGAATAGAGGAACCTATTTTCGGGTGCTTGCTGACATGTGGGAGACATATTGGGAGGGATGACAAACTCCAATTCACTGATCCCACACTGTACCCTCCAGTAGTGAAACATGGCAATGGAAAATCACACATTAAATGAAGGTTTATAGATGGAAATCCTCTATCAGACTCTATTAATGGGTGATTTCCCTGCCATGTTTGATGGCCCGAGGATCAATTTACTTCGATGATGGTCTTATCAACAATTCCAATCGATCACGGATTACCCGGCCAGCCATGTTTGATTGCCGGAGCTGACCGTAGTAGTTTCGTGCCACTATGTGCCATTCTTGAGGGAGGTGCGCAACGTGGTTTGTTTGCCTCTATGTTTCGCGGCCAAAATGGTGATCCAACTAGCCAAAACGGTGGTGGTGGTGTATCTTGGAGACGTACTGCAGTGGATCATACCCTCTGGTAATTGAACACAGCTATGGACAATCGCCACTTTTGAGGCAAATCATCGATAAGCGGCAATTTTCCATAGCATGTTTGTTCGATTACCGGAGGGGAATGGTATTCTTCCAGGCTGTTTCACCCGAAGCTTTTCGGATCCCTTCACTCAAACGAGAGATTTCCTGCAAAAGAGCCTGCTACCAGTTTGGTGCTAATAGTTTTCCTGTGTTTACGTGAGATCTCAGTGACAGATCAGTGCCAGAGTTGCCGTGCCATCTTCTTTGGCTCGATGACGGATGAGGACATTGCTGTGGCACACGAAAGCCAACGCGCACGGAGGTGTCATGCCGCGACAGCCACAGACCTCGGCATATTTTACACTGGTACCTTGCATCCATCCACGTATTACCGTATCTGCAACTCCGCGATGGTTCACATTGAGTTCAGAGATGTATATGTATATCTATATATGATCGATTATAAGTATAAATATTATTATATACATCACGCCGCGGTTTCAAACTTTTATATGGCACTCATAAAAAAATAGGTCGCTGATGATCATTGAGGATCATACTACCATTTCAGGAATCACCATTCATCACCTATCACAGAGCACCCCCCAACAAGATGGAAAACACAAATAAATTCCTACTACCATAATGATAAATCACCGGTTTTGTCTTGTTTTGGTTAACTAATGCCATTCACCTAGTAGGAAACACCCCCAGACACCATGGTTTAGTAGGGGAGATACACAAATTTATTTGATTTTGGGACCATAGAATGGATTAGAATGGGGTGTTTAGTATTGGGGGAATGGGGATTATATAGCAGAGCATATATACTGTAACTTGGAATGCGCTAGGGTAGAGCCACATTTCTTTCTGCAATGCTATACTGTATATATATATATATGCATACAGAATGCTCTACCCTAGAACATAGGGAATAATCACATCCCCTATATAATATATAAAATATAAATATGTTTTAGAATTAGGACAAAAACTAGTGGAATAGATTTGTAATATACATATATATATATATATAAATATTTACACTACACATATTAGAATTAGAACAAAAACTAGTGGAATAGATATTTGTAATATACATATGATATATATATATATATTTATATTATTGAAATTAGTTGTTACACTATAGAAAAGAACTGTTCCAAACTATTCTCGCGATGCGTTCCGCCTCGTTGCCGACGATCTCACCAGGATGAGTTGAAGAGCCATGACCGACATCGCCGTGTGAGCAGCGAAGCTGAGACGGAGGACGGCGGTCACCCCTTGGGGACGCGTTGTGTCACCATTTGGGGAAGCTGCCAGCACCATCCATTTATGGTATTTGGGATTGTTTATTGAATTGAGCTTGGTACTGGGTTTAATGGTAGCTTAACGATGTTCCATTGCCATGTTTCTTTGGCAGAGGGTTCACATCTACATATATACATACCTACATACATACATACCTACCTACCTACATAGATACATACATACATACATACATACATACATACATACATCAGCTAGGACACTTGTTCCCATATGATTGTACACACATCGTTTGCAAATATATAGGTATAGACACAAAGGGTGGAACATGAGGATGCAATGTTATCCCCACGTTACTGTGGGTCCATGTCGGTGCCAGGATAAGGTTGAGCTACGTGGGCGACGCTTGGTCGATCGAAACATCGAAACTGGGGTTCGATGTTGATGAGGAACATGCAGTGATACATGATTTGGATCCATGTTTGGGAATATCTTGTTGTACATCTTTGCGAGGTATTTAAGCTGAAGAGGAACTAAAAATGGAAAAATCTGATCGCAAACTGGGATTGAACAAGGACCAAGTGAAACTGTAGGGTCTAAAGTTGATGGCAAATGCCAATATAATATTATCATATCTCTACCCATCGGCTTTGTGGATCTTCTCTCTCCCTGCGCGCAAGTCTACCAGAGATTTGGCAGCAGATGGGCCGAACATTTGGTATGGACTTGTAATATGGGGTCCATGCGTGGTTTCGGAGGCGTCATGCCTAAGCTTACGTTGGTAACTTTCGGCTCCTCTCCCCACATGCCATCATTCTAGCATACTTCTGAATGTGAAGGGATTGTGTGGCTTTGGATTCAATGAATTATGTCGGTCATTCCGGAGACGTTCCTGTTACAGCTGCCTAAATAAGTTCCCACTTCTGTTGGTCAAATTCATATGATTTCACGTTTGGCTTCAGAAGTAAAATTGTTGTCCTACTGCTCCAAACACCTTCGAAGACTGTAGTTGGTGTTGCTTTTCTCTGGATCCAACTGCTAAGACACAGAGTGTTGTTCCATCCCGATCCCAGGGTTGGGTCCGCCTTTAGGCACTGCCCTGCTCGAATCCTTGATGAGGGATCAGGCGGGGTTTTCCAACGCCATAGTCCCATAGTGGTGTTGTAAGTCCAGGGTCAGATACACACATGGACTGAGGGATGTATGGATGGATGGGTAGTGATAGAGATATAGATAAATAATGATAAAGATAGAGATATATTCATGGTGAATAGCTTATAGATGGACATAGACAGATGTAGATAGATAGATGTAGAATAGATGTAGAATAGATACGTGTAGGTAGATTTAGAGATGATAGATGCAGACAGATGTAGATAGATCTAGAGAGATATATAGATAGATCTAGACATAATATGTAGAACATGTGGATAGATGTAGATAGGTATGGATTGATGTAGACACACACATATATATATATATATATCGGTATATATATATATATACATACAAATAAAACATATACAAAATATATACATATATATACATATTTAAATACATACATATATATACATATTTAAATACATACATATATATATATATATATCGATAAACATGCAGATCGATAGATCGATCAGTAGATAGATACATGAACAATATACAATGTATATATATATATATATGTATGTAGTTAGATCATCCTTAAATGCTGTTATATGACATATACGTTAAGTAATTTCGTGATACATAATATAGATCACATGTGCCCGAAAGAATCAGGTCAGGATGATTGTACGCTGAGGAATACTGTGCCCGATTCAGTTTGACTGGTAGGGTGGAGCATGCATAAATCCCAGATATTGGCTGATGCAGTTGAAAAAACGTTGTGGTTGTCACCAGAGGTTGGGACATTGCAAATGCCTCTGGTCCTTTGCTCAAGTTTGTTGTACCCTCGGGTAAACATACAAAAAACTATGGAAAATCACAATTTTTAATGAGACAACTCACTATAAATTGCCATTTTCAATAGCTATGTTTGTTTACCAGACGGTATTGTTTGAACTTGCTGCAACATAGACTTTGAATGTTAGAAGCCTGCGCACGACCTTTGAGTTGGTATCGCTGGCTCTCTTTGCGTGTCACCCCTTTGAAAACAGATATCCTCTAGCTCTTTCAATAGCGTTACTTTGTTGCCCATCAGCAACCGTCTCTCTCCTACCTTACATGCACAACCATTTGTGCTAAAGAAGGGGTCCATCAGCAGGGCCCCCAGCCCCTACATCCGCTGTGCAGGCTGATAGCAGCCTGGCAGTCGTGACGCACAAAGGTTATTTGCCCCTTGGCTCAGAGATTGCACGACATGAGCAGCTTTATCATGTAAACGTGCCAGCTGGACACTGAGCATGTCCTAATTGAATTCAAATGATAGATCTACCCCATCAAAAACAAGATGGGTCATAGTCGCGGATGCCACCTGTGTCATCTATACTAATATAAGGTACTTGGGGAAATTTGCGTAATATCATACCTTTTGGTAATCTAGCATAGCTATGGAAAATCACGATTCCTACAGTAGTAGGTAAAAACAAATCAACTATACATGGCCATGTTCAATAACTATGTTAAATTACCAGAGGGTCACCAGTCAGAATGAAACAACACACGTCTTCGCCGACTTCGGCTGGAGCATGCTGGAGCCATGTGCTCAGGCGGGAATTGGAGCATGGACCACTGCAGAACCTCGATGCCAAGGTGTGGTGAAACATGTGGTGGAATCCCAATTGGAAGGGACGCCTGTGGTTGATGGTTGGTTGTTGGATATACTGTATATCCTTAAATAGCCTATACATATCCATCCATATCTGGTTGGTGGTTTGGAACATTGTTTATTTTTCCATAGATTGGGAATGTCATCATCCCAACTGACCGCTATTTTTCAGAGAGTTGACCAGATATTGATAATTAAAAAAAACAAACATATGCATAGGGTCATGCTGTCGATTTTGCTTTGATTTACCCTCTGGTAAACTAACATAGCTATTGACCATTTCAGGTCCATGTATAGACATCTCGTAATTTGTCGATGTACCATCTGGTTATTTAACATAGCCATGGTAAATCCCTTATAAATAAATTACTTTACTTCGTGTGATCCCCACCATGACATTTATACATTTTCTTACTGGCAAATCTTCTGGCATTCTATCTGACATATCTTCTGGCATTCTATTTGACATTCTATCTGGCATATCTTCTGGCATATGATCTGGCATATCTTCTGGCATATCTTCTGGCATTCTATCTGGCAAATCTTCTGGCATTCTATCTGGCATATTTTCTGGCACTCTATCTGACATATCTTCTGGCATTCAATCTGGCATTCTATCTGGCATATCTTCTGGCATATATTCTGACATATCTTCTGGCATTCTATCTGACATATCTTCTGGCATATTTTCTGACATATCTTCTGGCATATCTTCTGGCATATCTATCTGGCATATCTTCTGGCATATTTTCTGGCATTCTATCTGGCAAATCTTCTGGCATTCTATCTGGCATATCTTCTGGCATATTATCTGGCATTCTATCTGGCATATCTTCTGGCATATATTCTGACATATCTTCTGGCATTCTATCTGGCATTCTATTTGGCATTCTATCTGGCATATCTTCTGGCATATTTTCTGACATTCTTTCTGACATTCTTTCTAACTTTCTTCTGCACATTCTTTGTCCCATATCTTCCTACATGAGGTCCGGCAGGGAACACTTGGCGTGGATACTCGCGTTTGAGGTCCGGCAGGGAACACTGGGCGTGGATGGTCGTGGTTGAGGTCCGGCAGGGAACACTGGGCGAGGATGGTCGTGGTTGAGGTCCGGCAGGGAACATTGGGCGTGGATGGTCGTGATTGAGGTCCGGCAGGGAACACTGAGCGTGGATGGTCGTGGTTGGGGTCCGGCAGAGAACACTGTGGATCGCGGGTCGCAGTTGAGCAAGGACGACGAGGACGACGAGGACGACGAGGAGGACGAGGAGGAGGAGGAGAGGAGCACGAGGCAGGAGGAGGCGGAGGAGGAGGAGGAGAAGGAGGAGGAGGAGAAGGAGGAGGAGGCAACTGACATAAAATCTAACAACCCTCACCTGGCAGGTGGGGAACAAATGGAGGTTTCTAGCCTTTCTAGCTGGGAAAATCATCTTTTTCTATGGGTCATGGCTTCCATGGCTATGTTAGTCATAACCAGAGGGTATACTTAGAGTGTATCCCATTAATATCCCATTGAATCACCATAAAATCCCATTAAATCACTACAAATTGGGGGATCCAACGTTCCTGATGTTCCTGATCATCCCCATGCGTCGTCTGAGCCATTGCGCTCAGAAATGGCGAAGAAATCCCCGTGTTCCTCCTTGATAATCTTGATACCCTCCAGTAAACTAACATAGCTATGTAAAATGTACAGTATCATAGGAATAGATGATTTACCTATTGAAAGATATTGAAAGTGGTGATTTTGAAACATGGTGAAACCATCCAACTTCATGGTTGAAGCGTGTAACATACTACAGTAATCTACAATATGTTTTAATTGTTGGTGTATTTTCTTCAATCCACCAAAAGCATGATCATGGCTCTTTGTTGGTCTACTCGTTCCCCAAGGCTGCTCCATATGCCCATAGGTGTCCACTTTGAGATTCCTAGGTTGATTATAATTGATTAAATACGTCTATTTTTCGTGGTCAAACCAGTTATTGTGGCTCAAGTCTAACTTTTAGTGGCCAATTCCATTCAATACTTGGAGGATCATACCACTTGGACACTGGTTTATATATATATATATATAAATTATATATATATATAGCTATATATATATGCGTTTTACCCAACACCTCCAACACGTATAGAAGTAGATAACATAGGTCTTATATATGATTATCTGATATTATATATGGGTATACATAGTAGGTACACTCTGGTAATTTAACATAGCTATTGAAAATGGCCATTTATAGTGAGTTTTCCCATTAGAAATGGTGATTTTCCATAGTTACGTTAGTTTACCAGAGGGTACCTCTAATTAAGGTCCCTGAAATAACCATTGACCATTTCTTTTGCCCAGTTTTTGAAACTTCCCCATTGAACTCCGGCAGGAGTTCGGCAACTGTGAGGTGCGAGTCTACCAGGCCGAGCGCGTTGAACATGCTGTTGTTGGTACAAGGTAAAGCCCCCGTCCGATAGCTGATAGCTAAGTTGATTTATAACATCTTATAGCTTGGTTAACTGGGTTTGATTAGGGGGATATCTCATAACTTCGTTAACTCGGGTTTTAGTTACGGGGATAGAACGGACTCGTTGTAATTAGTGGCTTCATAAACCACAAACATCACTGGGGGATCTGGATCAAACGCGACGGATGTGACTTGGAACGGAGAAATGCCGCTAGTCAGACATGGAGATATGGGAAATCCTGAAAAATCTATATATGGAGGTTTTCATGGGCAAATCACATAGAAAATATCGAAGGGGATTTTCCATTGCCATGATTAACAGAGGGAATTTGTCAATCTAGGCAGGTTGATGGACTTTTGCATCGTTCAGGTCCTTAGCTTTTGGAACCCTAAATTTCCTTTTGAAGTCCTTCAACGGACATCACGAGACCATGGTAAACTCTGGGAAATTTGACTCAGGTTGTACCATCCCATGGTGGGTCCTCACTACTGTTTGACCACAGAAAGGGACGTTTGCCCATGAAATGTAGAAATATATGCGGGCCACGGGCCACCCCCCAAAAATGCGATGGTTATAATCAGTAAAAACAATAATTAAACCAATCCCCAAATCACCATACATAGGTGGTACAAACTATTCCCAAATGGGTGGTTTATTTCTGTTTTAACCACCATTATCCCATTAAATGTTTTTTTTTGGTCATCCCCCATTTGCAGAGAGATACAGAACCTATGTTGACCAGGTGACGCTGCCCGCCGAAGGCAGGGACAGTGGTTGGTTGGCGTGGCTGGTGTAAGCGGCATTTTTCCTTTGGAACCAATCCACTGAAATGATTGATTATTACCATCTGGTTATTTAACATAGCCATAGAAAATCCCTATTTGTTATAGGTAAACCATCTATAAATGGGCCATTTTCCATGGCTATGTTAAATAACCAGAGGGTATAGTCTATAGTGTGTTACAGGCAATGCTAGTTGTGTCTGATCTCTTGCTACTATTTATACGTTAAATTAATATTGCCCAAGCATTCTCTTTCAAATTTTGACTTGTTGGACTTGCTGTATTGCTGCGGTTTGATGCTCTGATAAACAATGTGCGTTTTTTTTTCCCTCAGTCAGAGAAGTGCATACTACAGATCTTAATGGACAGGGAACACAGGAGCACATAGTCTTACACATTGGAAGAATTCTCTTGAGCTGCCGAGTTGCAAAATATACCTCATCACCTCGTTACGTGGCATTCATCCATGGATGCATCCCTACTTCATACTCCTGATATGAATGCAATGAATATATTATATACCCCCTGGTTATTTAAGATAGCCATGGAAAATCCCCATTTTGCAGTTCGGTAAACCATCTATTTCAATGGACCATCTATACCATGGCTATGTTAGTCATAACTTATAACCAGAGCGTATATCCCATTAATATCCCATTGAATCACTATAAAACGGTATCACGGCAGGCGGGATCATGGCGAAAAAGTTGTATGGAGACTTGGCTGCAATGGCGACGAGATTTTTCGGCGGACTGACATCAGTCTACCAAAAAAGAACCTGCCGGTTTTGAAGTGTCAAAATTGGAGACCTACTATAGCTTCTGGTAATTCAACAAAAAAGCTATGGAAAATGACACGAATATGTTTTTTTTCCCCATCAAACGTGGTGATTTTCCATAGCTATGCTAAATTCCAGAAGGGCATCCCTAAGAAAAAATGGGCCCCGAGATGGGATGAATCCAGGGACGCTTGATATGTTTACCTTTGCGGAATTGGTTTAAAGCTAGAAATCTATAGGAGACTCCTACATTTCGGAATTATTCCAAGAGGGTTGCGTCAGGTGTTTAATTCAAACCAGTGAATTCTTGTTTTGAATTTTATGCTGGGAAACATTGACTTGGTTGTGTCTTTTGTTTGATTTGGGTTTCTTAAAGCCCAAACGAAGAGACATCGAGGATAGCGGTATCCCAAAAATATCGATACAGCATGATACGGTACATAACTTGTCTAGGTTTGCATTCAGGGTACGGTAAGCATCAATCACGACCTTGAATTCTGTTCCTATGTACGAGTTTGGGGGTTTCTTATGAATGAATGATATTGATAAGCAGATAGTATAGGGTTCTCAATAACATGTTCAAGCTTGGGACTCCAAAAGCGTTACTGTAAAACCCAGTCACTGTAAGTAAAGTACCAGATTGGGCACCTCCCATTTGCCAATGTATGTATAAACCCCGCGAACTGGTAGAGAGCTGGATCGGTTTGGTCCACCATCAGGTCAGTGTCGCTTCGTTTATTCTGAAGTGCGACTAATATATGTTTTGTTATAGTCCAGAGAAGTGGAGAATCAATACGTATGCGTTCATATCTATGTCTACATCATTATCAGATGAAGATATGCATGTTTGATTACGTCATCATATGTATGCATTATTATGAGTATGTATCTATTTATTCATATCTGCCGGTCTTTTTTCGTTACGCTGATATCAACATCATGAAACAAAAACACAGCGCAGGTGGCCCTCAGAAAAGGCCCCCCCTCAGAGCCATCGAGGTCGCCCCTCGTGACGTGGAAGGCGAGTCGATGGCTTCACGGCATTTTAAGTAGCTGATAGTTATGGATATACATAGAATTTATACAATTTTATACATAGTATTTATACATAGTATTTATGCATAGTATTTATTTATAAACCCCCTTCAAATCCCTTCAACTGATCACACATTTTGCTGCGATCGAACTCTTTTTGAACACTACTCTGTGTGAACGAACTCTGTGTGAAACGTCGGTGCGTGATGCGCCAGGCACTGAATCAAATATCTATTTGCCAATATTCCTTTGTAGAACGATACGTGTACATAAACTCCTGTTTAATAGAGTCTTGCACACTTTGCCTGTTTTTAATTTCACCTGTGCGTAGACTGATTCTCTTTTCGCCTGATTTTGCTTTTCCATAATCCTTCGAACAGTAGGGTAGGGCCAACGGCCGTAAGTCGCGAACTAAAACGGCTCTGGCGAAAAAAACAAATATATGATTGTATATGTATGTATATAGTATAATATGAACATAGGTTTGCATGTATTTAGTATATATATAATATAATTATATATATAACTTATGAACACATGTACTCATATGTATGGTCCCATTTGTGGCATGTCCTATCCTTAGATTTGTTTGACTTCGAGTTGACTCCGCATTCAGTTTGTGGAAGTTTCTTGAACTCCAAAGACACATGCTAGTATCCAGACCGATTTTATGTTTGCTTTTAAAGAGGCAAGCTTGCAGGATCTTGCAGGATCGAATTTCATATATTCTACATATTTAATGTATACATAAAGAAGTGTATACATGTTTTTACACATACACCTACACACACACAGGCAGACAGACAGAGACAGACAGAGACAGACAGAGACAGACAGAGACAGACAGAGACAGACAGAGACAGACGGACATACATACGTACCCCTATACCACTATGCCCCTTTTCCCCTATTGCCTATTACCCTATACCCCTGTACCTATACCTATAACTAACATATATGTTTGTTCAACTATGCACATATACAATATATATATATATATATATAAATATACGTATGCGTATATACATCGATAAATATACGTAATTTGTATATATATATATATATGCATATTCTGTATATATATATATATACATATTATGTATATATATATATTGTGTATACATGCGCATTTTATGTATACATTTTTCTTTATATATATATACGTATACATGTATTCCTACATGTATTTATATAGAGATACATGCATGCATACATACATACATTACATACATTACATTACATTGCATTGCATTACATTACATATCATTACATTACATTACATTACATACATACATACATACATAAATCATCCATCCATCCATCCATCCATACATACATACATACATATATACTTGATTCCCCATTAGTGTATGCATGTGAATAAATGGTGATATGATCCGCTTTGCGCCTCTGACTTAGCAAAAACTCATGACACTACCTGTTCACCTGGCAGGACTTCTGCTTGGCAAGTCTGCATGGTAATCCCCTTACATCAGGATAACCAACGATCTGGGCCAACGTTAGTTGGGTCATATTATATGTTTCCCAGAAAATGGTAGGAATAAATATATATATATATATGGAATTATTATGTTTTTTTTTTGCATGTGCACATACATGTGTAGATACACGCATGCTACCCAGTTAAGAAAAGCATTCAGACTCATTGTATATATCGAAGATTAGCCGCGCCGACTAGCAGTGCTTGTTGACCAAATGCAGGTTTGGCTGGGCCGCCTGAATGTGACGCCGGCTTTTTAATATGTAGATCCATCTCGGCAGCATTACGTGGCAGTCACCCAAAGAGCGCTCTTTTCCCTGGCTATTCCCGGCTGATCTTGTTGCTAAATCATGAAACTGCCGCAACCCAAGATGTTTTATGCTGAACAGTTTTTGTTACCTTCAGCTTGGAGCATCGTTTTATACCTTTTTTGCGCAGTTGCGACTGGTGGTCGGGAAATTCGGTGTTACAGTTCACCATCCATGGGGATGAACTCTGTACTCTTTGCGGTGAACAACGTTGGAGGACTGTCCACGTATGGCAGAATGTTTCAAGCCGGTGGAATCAAGAACCAACAAAAAAACACTTAGATCTTTGCGGTGAATCGGACATGATTCCCTCTTCTTGACATGAGGGGCCTGAAGGGTTCTAACAGTCTGAGGTTATTATCAATGTGTGTATTCACAGGAACTCAGTACAATCAGAAAATCAGTATAATCCCCATTAAAGCACACAAATATATCTGAGGATGGGTCAAAACCTATTGTTACATATTGTTACCATATTGGGGGAATAATATCCACTAACCAGCTATGTTATTATGCTATTTTATGGTACCGTATTAGGGTTTTGACCCGGCCCATAACTATCTCCATATCATGTCTCGAGCCAGTTGGGCCCATCATGTGTTGGTGAGCTGGGGCGGCACCTAACACCTTGGGTTGACAGTGGAGCGGACTGGCACAGCCGTGGACCGGACTTTGCCGTGTGGTTGAACTTGATTGACGCAGCACTTGTTTTTTTCTAAGTAATTACTTTATGTATATGTGCATTGTTTTTATTACTATTATTATTTATTATTATATGTATATATATATATTATTATATGATGGATCATTCCAATAATTATTGTCATTTGTGTTGCTATGTTTTGTTGTTGATATTTGTTTGGTTATGTTTACTATTCTTTGTTGGTATCTCATTGCTCAGTCTGACAAAGTAATGGCCCTTTCTATATAGTATGTATATAATATGTGTTTTTGTCACTATGATTTGTGTCAAGGTCCATGTTTCATGTGCCATTCCAGCTGTCGGCCCAATTTCAGACGTTTGGCGCGGACGCCGATTCCTGTGAAGGGTTGCCACAAAGGCACCGTCTGCAGTCGTTCCAAAACAGATCACCGGTGTTGGTCGTGTTGGTCGTATCCTCCGAATCGTGCGGTTAAAAAACATCATGTTCCCCATTAAAATGGCAATCTGTGGGTAAGTACCCTCTGGTAACGACTAACAGTTTGCTATTGAAAATGGTGATTTATAGTGGATTTACCCATTGAAAATGGTGATTTTCCATAGTGATGTTAGTTTACCAGAGGGTTTCTATTTTGTTTGTTTTAATACTGTATTGATTGTCTATCCAAGATCAGTTCAGATTTGTGATCAGACAATTCAGGCACATATTGGACTCGTTTGGTATGTTCTACTCCCGCTTGGGGTGATAACAGCTGGCCCGCAATCTGCGTCAGCCTTGGTTTGATATAGCTTTTCCACACGTACAAAAACTAATAGGACTGGCCAGCTTAGTGTAAAAAGAAACATCTGCTGTTGTCCAGATAATCGTCAGGGTATCTAAGGTTACGGCTGGACTCAGGACCTTATGCTTTGCCAGGAAAGTTACAGCAATAATGAAACCATTTCCTGAGACGACGCGCTTAAATACCTGGGGAAGGTCAATGTTTTTTGTATTTCTCTGATGAAGAATATTTTTTGTTTGAAACCAGGCCTCTACAATGTCATTTGTTTGTGTTTATTAAAGCATGTTAAACCCCAAAGTTTAGTTGCTGATTTATTATCCCATGAAACTATTTGGTTCTTAGATCATTATTCCATTTTCTATCCCAGTTAGAGGCCCTTTTTTAATCGCCATTTATGGCTGGTAAAACGGCTTAAAGCGGGTAAAACTCCAAGGTTTGCGGCTTCAAAAACACCTGGGCGCCTTGCCAAGGCTACCACTGCGCAATCCACAGCCCAAATTTCTGCAGAGGCCTCACAGTGAAAGACGTGGGGGACCACAAATTGACAAATGGCTTGGTCTTTTAGTATTCCCAAATGCTCCATTGGGCTCCATGGTGCTGGAATATTTACCAACATGGAAACCCTAAAAATCATCCAAATGTAGGTAAATATGGAGCATATGGGATTAACCATCCAAGTGTCATTGAGATACCAATTTTGAGCCATATATCTTGGGAGGTGTTGTGATAAGTGATACGTTTTTTTTCCGAAAATGGGGCCCAGAATGGCTGTTTTCATGGGGACCTGATGATTAACCAATGTATTTTAGGGGTCTATTTGCAGACAAGCCCATGTGTCTTACTTTTTGTAGATTCATGTGTGGATTCATTGGACTGGTTTAAGGGAAAATTTTAACCGGACCACCCCCCATGATCTTCATGGTAAAAAACCATGGTTTCCTGTTGGGATTTTCCCGTAAACCAATCCAATGATGGATACAGCAGACTCAGCAGACTGGATGGATAGATTGAAGAGGTAGACCAGGTAGATCAGCTTCACAGACCACAAGTCAGGATAGAATAGATAGTATGGATCGATTAGATATAGATACATATAGAGTAGATTATTGGGATAGATTTGATACATCAGATAGGCCACATTGACATAGATTATATAGATTATAGATTATAGATTATATAATGATGTAGGCTAGATCATTTAGTTACGTCTCATCCATGTTTGGGAGGAACATGGAAATTCGAAATTTCAGGTCAATACTATGCCCAACATGCTGGTGCTGGTGCATCAGTGACAGAGCCTAGGATTGTGTCATAAAACCCTTGTTGATTTCTACGTGCGCAGGAGTCTTGTACCTTTCCCATGACTCCTGCGCTCACTCAGCGGCAGGTTTTTGGGGGAGAGTCAGACATGGCTGACGTCTCTTGAATGCCTTTGAAGCGTGCAAGCGGGGGCGATGCTTTTTTAGGGAAATGGTCCAAACCCTGTTTGAACATGCATTAATGTATGGCATTGAACACGAACGCAGGTCTCCAAGTGATATGTTTAATATATATTAATATATTATATAGTATTTACTTATTCCCTAGCTTGTATGATGGTCCGAAGTGACTATCGCATATTTACACAGGACAGTTTGAATTAGATGGTGAACTTAGCGAACTGGTTAAAGATGTGGCAATTCCATGCGATTCAAACTACAAAAGGACCAACTTGTGTGATTCGGCA